CTTGGTATCTTAAACTCCTTCGCATAACTGAACTTCAAAACTCCTGCAATAAGTTTAACATTCATTAAGTTTTCTTCGTTATCCTTGTTTATTGTAGTATTTATGAGAGCATTTAACACTCCAGCTAATGTTTCCATCTTATATTCTACATTATTGTGAAATCTTATTTCGTGCTTCTTTCCATCTATTTCAATCTCCATGAAATCTGTTTCATCTGTATATAACGAATGAAGCGATAGTATTGAAGTCAACCATTCTGAATGCAAGCGCCTCATTCTGTAGACCTAAGTTTGTTTGTAGCTTTACTGTCCCGTATTCGTTTGGGTCTGTACTTTGCAAATAGAACAACATTTTATTCTCATTAAAATATGAGTATAGCTGCATATGCGTATGAAGCTGACAGAGCTAAACGTTTATATTTTGGTCAATACTCTCTCACACTTACTGACAAATATATTGTTATCACTGATGGAAATACTGAGAAATACATAACATGGAAGGACTATGAAAAGTTTGACCCTATTTTAACTCCATGTACTATGCCATTCATTGTAAATGGTGAAGTTGTCATGAAGAACGACACGACAGTATATAAGTCTGTATATGAAGCGTTAGAATATATGTTGAATTATAATCCCGAAAGATTTGACCCAAGCACTACACCATGTGCAATGCCTTTTATTAAGGACGGTGAAATCGTAAGAGTTCCGGATTCAACGGTTTATACTGCTGTTCAAAACAGTTTACAAAACATTTTAGCGAATATCTTTAATTCAGAAACTACAGAAATAAAATTACCATATATAACAGATGCTAAAGAAATTAAATCAAAAACAACAACATTATTTACGTCACTTAATGATTTAATGACTTATATCATTAATATTCCTGCACCAACTACAGCATTTGATCCAAACTCGACGGTTTGCAGTGTACCTTTCATAAAGTCGCAAACGGACTCTTTGAGTCCTGAAGGTCTTTCAGACCGAAGCGACCAGGGCGAAGCCCATGACAGTTCATTAATTACTTTAAGGGATTCAACAGTTAATGAATCATTAAAGGCTTCATTAATGAAAATCATTGATTTTAACTCATTCATGAATACATATAATTCATTCATTAATGTTTCATATGCTTCTAAAGAAGGTGAGCCAAAAACTATCGATAAAGCGGTGTATGAAATAAAAGCATCAACGACGAAATTGAATTCGTTAACTTTTGACGGTGATAGTTTCGTTAATGACATAACATCAGGGAAAACAATTTTAACGAAAGAATATTTAAAATCTCATGTTAGTGAGTTCGTTGAAATTGAAAAAGAAGGTGGAATTAAGTTCGATCCACTGAATTTCATTTTCAGCTTAGCGAATGCGGGTGTTAGTTTCGCTGAATGGACAACTATACAGAGTGAAATAAATGCAATATGGACGTTTTTGGGGTCAAAAGCGGGAATGGGTGAGCTTGTAAATGCTGCAAGAACATTAGGTGAAACAGGAAATTTTGTAGATGGTTTTAAAAGACTTGTTTCAAATGTTTTAACAAACACAAAGAAATTATTTAGATATACCATACATAACGGACGGATTTTCGAACAGGTAGCAACAAACCCTCCGGTTATGGCTGCGTTGATGATGGTTAGAGATATAAAACCACGTAACGACGGAACGAAGAACATGAACAACAGGATACTGGTCGGGTTATTCAAGACATTAAAAACGTGTATCCTGAAGTTATTGATTTATTTAGAGGAGTTAATGATTCAATTTCAAAACATTCTATAACCCTCGATGAAGAGAATAAATTAACAGATTATATATTCGTCATTATTGCAGAACTAATGAAGAGAATAAATGAAAAAGGAATTGGTGATATCATTAATGTCAGCGATGTAATGATGAAAAGAAATTTTGACTCATTATTACAAAACCGAAAACAGAATATAGTCTTTATGACGTAATTACCGAATTAATGAAAAATATTAATGATAATAAGAGTTCTGGCGGAAGAGTTGAATTAGAAGTGAATGATGTTAATGAGAAATTAGCCGAAAAAGCAGACAAAAATGAGCTTTTAGCTCTGAGTGATAAAGTCAAGAACCACGTTCATTATATAACTTCAGACGAACAGATTATAACGGACTACCATGGATATTTAACACGAAGTGATGAAGTGAAGACAAAAAATGTTAATGAAAGAAGATATAAATACATTCGTGCTAAAGGTTATGACATAAGCTGTACTGTACAGTATGATGTAGCTAAAGCACCAGAAGCATTTGGTTATACCGGTGAAATTTATGCCTCTACTTTCTCTGTTAAAGGTGTATTAGTTGAACCAAGATTTACTTTGAGAGTTAAGTCAAAAATAACGTTTGAAGATGCTATTAAAAGTAAAGCTGACAAAGTTGAACTCGAAGCAATGAACAAAGTTTTGAAATCTCATAAACACAACATCTCCGATATAAATGAACTTCAAACTTCTTTAGACAGTAAAGCCGACAAGAACCATACACATAAATCCTTCACTACTGTTAGAGCAGACGACATAATATTGAACTATACCCTTGGTTCAAGTGCACCTTTAGAGAATCCAAGTACAAGCGTAAAAGATACACTAAACTCCTTAAATAACAAATGTATGAACATTGAAGGTCATGCCAGAAACTTTGAAGCACATGAACTACCAACAATGTTAGACAGTAAAGCCGACAAGAACCATACACATAAATCCTTCACTACTGTTAGAGCAGACGACATAATATTGAACTTTGACCTTGGTTCAAGTGCACCTTTAGAGAATCCAAGTACAAGCGTAAAAGATACTCTTAACAATTTAGATAAGAGTTGCAGGAATATTGAAGATCATGCCAGAAACTTTGAAGCATATGAACTACCAGCAATGTTAGATAAGAAAGCAGACAAAACTTATGTGGATGCAGAACTAACAAAGAAATTTTCGAAACCAGATACAATGACATTTACAACAGAAATTATAAATGGTGAACCAGCAACTCCATTTGAATTTGTTAGAGGTCTTCAACCAGATACTTTTGAATTTTTCTTGGATAATTCTATTGAACTAACATTACATTATAAAAGTGGAACAAATGCAACATTTCATCCGGGAGATACATTCCAAATGGTATTTAATGACATAAGTTCTTTAGAATATGTTTATAGAGTTATGAGCATATATGATTTAATATATCCTATAGGAGCTGTTTATACGTCTATGAATCCAATAAATCCAAACACTTTATTTGGTGGTAGATGGTATGAAATAGTTGACAGTTTTCCATTCTACACTAATACACAGTCAATGAAGATGGGAGGTTCAAAGAAAATAGGTATTGAAAACCTTCCTTCACATATGCATAGGTTCAGTGGAAGAACATCTGTGGAAGGAAACCATTCACATTCAATAACAAAAAGAGGTTATATAAATCTTGCAGCGGGTTCGAATAGACAGGGAATGAACAGATATGATATCACAACTGACCCCAAAGATGTTAGCACAGTATTTTCTGTGGAACTGCAGGAAATCACACACATGTGTAGCTGGTATTACAGACCCAGCAGGTAATGGAAAAGATTATATGCCTCCTTATATAACAATGCACGCTTGGATACGATTGGTTAAACTCTTTATTTTTACATAAATGAGCTTGAAAGAAGTATTCGAACAACATCCATGGAGGTCTTTTAAGAAATTCAATGAAGCTGCAAAGAGTTCGGGATTTACTAACAGAGCTGAAGTGAAAAGGTTCTTTAACAAAAATGTTGTACATCAAACAAAAATAAATCCTTACGACTACTTTTTACCAATTTACTCCAACACTCCTGACGCATACCAATTTGACACTCTCATTCAAAGCAGAAAATGTGGTCATAAACCATTCCTCATCTTCATAAATGTTAACACTCGTAAAGCATATGCATATCCAATGAGGAATAAAGGAACTCGTGAAGTGTTAAGAGTTTTACAAAAGTTTGTAGCAGAACATAACCCAAGTACTTTAACATCAGACCAAGACAGTGCATACCTCAGCAATGAAATCACAGATTTTCTCATTAAGCATAACATAACTCACTACACTACTGAAGACCATAACCATAACATACTCGGCATCATAAACCGCTTCATAAGGACTCTCAGAGATTTAAACCAAGAGCGAGACTTTACCGAAGAAACAATGAAACATTTTCTTGAAGTATATAATTCCTCAACGCATTCTACAACAGGACATACACCAAATTCAATGACACAACAACAAGAAGAAAAGTATATACAAAGAAACGAAGCCAAACACAAAATATCAGAAATTCAACACAATTTACCCTCATTCCTGGTACAAAGTTCGTGTAGTTCTTGACGACAAACCGTTGACAAAGAAACGTTTAAGGTTAAGTCGAAATTATTATATCGTAGACTCTACGCAAGGTAATGGATATCTTATAAAAGCTGCCGACGACTCTATTGCGTTTTATCCTCGTCATAAATTAGTCGAAAGTAGTAATGGCAAACTTGCTGAAACCATTGACGAAGCAAAGCGAGGAGTGGTTATTGAAATACTTGGCTATAACACAAACGATGACACTTATAAAGTAAGATATGAAGGAGGCGTTGAAGATGTTATACCATCTAAGAACTTGAGAGAGTCGAAGCCAACACATCTGGGACCATTAGAGCGGGAGTACTGGAAAGACAAAAATATGCCAGAAAGAATAAGAAAATTCTTCTAAACTTTTTCATTAGATGTAAATCAGACAAAAATATAATTTAGGTGAAGAGGTTAGATCTCACCTGTTTTTTCACCTCTTTTTCACCCCGTGAATTTTCATGAATTTTCACAAAAGACCAAAAATAATGTTTAGGTGAAGAGGTGAGATCTCACCTGTTTTTTCACCTCTTTTTTCACCTCTTGAATTTTCATGAATTTTCCCGAAATAAAAAATAAAGTTAGTTTTATTTTTTTTATTTTTTTATTTTGTATAAAAGATATGATTTCAACAATCGGCACAACAACAATTCAAACAACAACAGCACCAAACTCGTTAGTCATGAATCCTACGTCAATGTTAGTAGAGATGAAAAACTTCATTCCTTCTTCATATACTTTCGAAACAAAAATCCAGAAGATAAAGCAAGAACTTTTAACAAGTAATTTAGACTGTAGTGCGAAAGATGAAGAAAATGAAGAATATCTTTATGAAATGCAGGACATTATTGACCATTTACCCAAATTGCCTGAAATCCAACAACAAAAACTCACTATTCCTGAATTCGACGAAATTGAAGTGAAACCAACTGACTCAGTAGAAATAAAGAAGTTCATACGTAAAGTAAATTATGAATTCCTTGGTTTTCATTGCAACCATAAGGTTATGGACAAAGATTGCGACATGGTATATAAAAACATTTCTGACATATATAAATCTGAGGAGTTTAAGACTTACGATAACTTTGTTTCATTAGTTGCAAAATGTGTTTGGGAAATAAGAGATAAAGATAGAAGAGGCAAAGTATGGAACGAACAAATAAGACCCGCTATGTTTGAGATGAGAGAGCAATTGACGCCTTAGTTGTTTTAGCTGGTTTTATTTCAATGTATAACGCAAAAATGAACCCGCAATGTTCAAAATGTAAGGCAGCAATTAGGAAATATAACTACTCAGTCAAAGAGATAGAAAGAATGAGAAACGACTATGCAGACTTAAAGAAAGAAGCAGAAAAGCCAGCAGAAGATAAAATGAACATGTTAGAATTTCTGAACAAAAACTATCCAACAGCAGAAGATTTCCTTCTATCTGACGTCAAGAAGAAGTATAAAGAAACCTTCGTATTGTTAAAACTTTTGACATACTGACAGAAGAAATAGAAGCTACGAAATTGTTTAGGATTTCAAATATACATCGTACAATTCATGTAAAACGCTTGTGAAAAAACTGGGGTGAAAAAAGAGGTGAAAAAACAGGTGAGATCTCACCTCTTCACCTAAATTATATTTTTGTTCAAAGCTTCCACGAGAGAAAAGATTCCTCATTCGCTAAGGATTCCAAAAATGAAAAAATCATTGATTTCGGCTGAGAAAAAAACAGCAAAACCCTTCTTCCACGGGAACAAAGAAATAAAGAAGAAATAAAGTAAATTTTTTATTTATTCCCGTGGAAGATAGAGCACTTTTATGACACTTTTTATTCACGACAAACAAGACAAACAAAGAAAATAAGAAAATACGGCGCTGTCGCGGTTCGAACCACAGACCTTGACCCCTCCATAACACCACCTTAGACCACTGTGCTACGTAGCCTGTCGACATAAGATTTTATAAATTGCATATTTGACGTAAATTTATTTCCATCTAGCTTCCCACCGCATAAGATATTCATACGTGTTTGTAAGACATTCATTAAACTTCTTTTCTATTGCATCTAATCTTGCGTTATTTTTTTCAATAGCTTGTCTGTATTCTTCATCATCTCCAGCAGTGTTTGGGTCTTCACGTTTAAAATATTCATTGTTAACCAATTTTTTATCTACAAATTTTATTAGTGTTTGATTCACTTCATTATGATAACGGTCATATTCTTTCAATACGTAAGTGAAGACAAAATGCGTCGTACCTTCAATCTTAAAGCTTAAAGAACTTTCAACACAGTTTTGAGGGTCTGTCAGTGCGTCAATGAGATAGTATTCGAAGTCAGTCAATAATCTTTTTAAAGTCATTTCATACAGGATAAAATTTAATGTTGTGAAGAAATAGTGTTTATTTCAGAAAAAATAAAGTTAGTTTTATTTTTATTTATTTTTTTATCCGGAATATAAAGACAGTAATGACAACAACAGAGAACACAACAACTGCTATCGTTCATGAAGCCATAAATGAAGAATACGAGTGGGTTCAGTTTAACAAACAACTCCGTCTCATTCGTTCGGTCAAAGATGACATGTACCAAATGCAAAGTATTTTGACAGCATGTTTTGCTCCAGATACTAAACACGCAGACGACTGGTTCAAAAACCAAAGCACACAAGAACTTTTGAGTGAAATTTCTCTAGACCGAGAATTCTCGGTCTTGCATAAAACACATGAAAATCGTAAAAATTTGGCTCCTGGTTTGAGAGGATATTATGTACATAGACTTCTTGTAAATGCTGTTGCAATGTGGGCTTCACCTCGTTACGCATGGCATGTTTACAGACTTCTTGACGAAATTCATAGACAAGAACGTGAAGAGATGGAAAAGAAACTTCATGCAAAAGATGAAGTCATTGAAGCAAAAGATGAAGTCATTGAAGCAAAAGATGAAGTCATTGAAGCAAAAGACAAAAACATACAGAAAAGAATACCACGTTCGGTACCAAAAGGAAAGGAAAAGAACTATAAGTATATGATTTACACTGAAGAGATGGAAAATGAAGAAGACAGAGATATGGTTATGTTGCATTTAGTCAGAAGAAACAACAAAAGCTTTTACGACCTTGCTAAGATTTACAAATCTGACAGAAATTGGTTCTATCGCGAAAACTTACCGATTTCAATGACACCAAATGAAGATGTTAAACAGATAGTTCAAGATACGTTACCTCAAACACACTATGATATGAAAGGTTGTACAATACTTACATTCAAAGAAGACTTACCGCTACTGAAAGAAAAAATAACAGAGTATTTTGACAACTTCAAAGAGGAAGAATGAAGTCACGACAACATTAACGAAGAGAGAATGAGGTGAAAAAAGAGGTGAAAAAACGGGTGAGATCTCACCTCTTCACCTAAACATTATTTTTGTGCTATATTTACACTCATTTACGAAGAAGTCATGAATCCTACGTCAATTATGTTCGACACTGTAAGCATTAACAATAACATTAACGAAGCATCATGCTGTTCGCTCTTTCGTACCTGTTGTCAAAATGTCAAGACCTTCAGGTCTCGTCACACAGTGACTGTTGTCATCATTTTTAAAAGAAGTTAAATAACCTGGTAGCACATGGTAACATGGTAACACCATCAGTTATTCAAAAATATATTTTTGCTTAAATAGCTTCAGGGTCTATTTCTTCAACCATTTCACTTACTTCGTCAATGTCAATTGAAGCTTCTTCAACCTTTGGTAAGAATTTCTGTATAACATCTTTGTTCGTTATTGTCTTCAGAGATGAAGGATAATATTTCACATTTGTTTCACCTTTCTTATATTCTTTCTGTTCGGAAAGATTTAAAGCAATACTGAAGAAGTCAATATTAGAGTTCTTTATAACAGTATAATGAGTATCTTTGACATTCACGAAGAAACTCTTTTGTTTCAAAACTACTGCTAACTCTTGTGAAGTATAACGTTTGCGGTCAATGACGATAGCTAATGGTCTGACATACTGACCAAACTTAGATTCTTTCACAAACTTCTTGTTAAAGATAACATTAACATTTGAAGCATTATTGAACTCATTCTTGATGGCAGTAGCGAGAGCATTGTATGAAAAGAACTTGCAATCTTGCATGTGTTTCATTAAAATAAAAATATTAAATTATTTTGAAAAATAACTTAAAAAAAATCTAATCTAATTTTTTCAAAAATATTTTTTTTATTTCCTACTAAAGATGTATCGGAAGTTGTCTAAGTTAGAACACTCGGAAATAAAACAACTTCTTACAGAAGCTAATATAGATGTTGCAAAGCATTACGCAACAAACAAAAAAGCACTCGCTGACTTCATTAAAGACTATAATGGTGCAATAAGTTATGATAGAATTCATGAGTTCATAAAGCCGCAACGCGGCGAGGACGAAGTCCATGCAATAGCATTTCCTTTAAATGACGTTGCTATTGACTTATATCATAGACGTTCAGTACCTCATGAAGTAAGAAGAGAGATTTGACATAACAAATGCGAACGTTGGTGAAACAAGAAGAAGAGACGACACACTGAAACAACAGAGAAGAGAGATGTTTAAGAGCGCTATAGAACAAGTTCGCAAAGCTAACGATGTCATTCGTTCCATTGACGACAAACCAAAAGAAGGTGAGAGATGGTTAAAGAAAGATGAAGAGAATAGGAAGAGAAATGTGAAGTCAGGCAATAGACTCATTGACTTTAACATCGAAGCTTTAGATGAACCAAACAGAGACTACTTACACAAACATTTCGGTAAGGTTTTCATGAGACTCTTAGAGAAAATTAAAATAAACTCACAACAGAGATGGATGGTATGTTATAAACTTGGTGGAAAGTATGAATGTTCTACGTTAAACCTCAATAATATTGGAACATTACTACATCAGCTCTTGAAGGAGAACTTTATATCAGAGATAGAAGCAAATGCTGCAGGTATTGTTGAAATGCACTATGACTTCTTCTTGACAAACATAAAGAATCTTACCGAAATAAAGATGTATGATTTAACAGAATATGAAGGCTTAACGATGTCAGATGTAAAGAAAGGCAAACCAAAAAAGAGACCATATAGAGATGAAAGCACACTGACAAATGACCAGAAAGCCATTTTGGAAGCTCTTAAGCAAACAGGAAACCCAGCACTTATAGAAAGCTTTTGGAAAGATAATGGTGAAAAGAAGTTTTATAAGAAGAGAAGCGGTCAGTTCTGGAAGTATCTTTGCACATTACCTATAAATCTTGAACGCTACCAAATCTTCAATGAACTGAACAAAAGAACTGCAACACTTATGACAGAGGACAATTGTTTCGTTTATGCTTGCATTCAGGCTGGAGTAAATGAAGAAACTATTGACCACATGAGAGAAGTCATTCGTGTTAGAGACTTTCCTCAAAGTAAAGTACAAGAAATTTCTGACGCAACAGGTATATCATTTAATGTTACCATTGGTTATTTCAATGAGTCAAGACATAATGAAATAAAGAGATATATACCAAAAGAATGCGAAACTGTTAGAACTATTGACTTACTTCTTGTTGAAGACCACTACATGCTAAATGAAAGATTACCAATGACAACATACTTCATTCGAAACTATAAAGAAATTCTCAAAGCTTGTGGTGGAATGAACATTGAGAAACAGATGAAGATTTATACAAAGAGAGAAGATAAATATGTAGTTCGTTATGATAGAACAACACCGTTATGGGATGTTATGAAAACATTGTGGGAGTGCAAATATTTCGAACCTATTTCTTATGGAGAACTTTTCACATATACTACTGACTTATATAAACAGAACCTTGCACCATTTAAAGATTTGACATATGCTCCAAAGTATTGTGTACAACTGAAGAAGAAAGCAGAGTCAAAAGAAGTAAATAAAGCTAAATGTAAATTCATACCTGAGCACGTTTTCTTTGCTGACTTTGAGTGTAGTACGGATGGCTTTCATAAAGCTTTTAACATCTGTTATGACAGTGAAGATGGTTCAGTTAGTGAAAGCATTTGGGGTCAAAACTGTGCAACAGAATTTTTGGAAAGACTTCCTGACAAGAGTTTAATATATTTCCATAACCTCAGTTATGACATAAACTTCATCTTAAGACACATGACAGAAGTGAAAGGAACTCCCATCATTAAAGGTTCACGAACAATGCAAATAACTGGCTTATATAAAGGACGGGCAATTATTATAAAAGACTCTTACAGTGTTATAAATAAGAAGCTTAAACTATTTCCTGCTATGTTTAACTTACAAACAGGACCGAAAGAAGTATTTCCATATAACTACTACAGCAGTGTTTTGTTAGCAAATGACAACAGAACTGGTGTCATTTCTGAAGCATGTAAGTTTATCCATGATGCAGATACATTTATGAAGAACATAGATTCCATCAAAGGTTGCAGAATAGATGAAAACCACTTCGACTTAGAAAAATATAGCACGTTTTACTGCAAACAAGATGTAAGAATTTTAAGAGAAGGTTTTGTAAAGTTCCGCAATGACTTATTGAAAGAGTTTGATTTAAACGTTTATGACTACGTTAGTATTTGTTCTATTGCTAACAAATTGTTTGAGAACAGAGTATACTTCCCGAATGGAAATCTTTATGACCTCTCAAATAAACCAAGAGAATTTATTTCGAGATGCATTCAAGGTGGAAGATGTATGTTGTCAGATAACATGAAACAAAAGAGCAAAAAGAAACTCATTGCTGACTTCGACACTGTTTCATTATATCCTTCAGCTATAGCAAGACTTTATACTTTAGAAGGTATTCCAAAAGTATTGAAGGATGAGATGTTAAGCACAGAGTATCTCATGAGACATTTATTCGATGATGACCAAAAGGAACCCATTGGTGAAAAGTTTATGTCTGGCTTCTTTGTTCTCATTAAGATAACAGAGATTGGTATACCCAGACACTTTCATTTAATAGTTTGCGACCCTGAACTAAATCCAGAACTTAACGTTCCAAGAAGTTCAAACACTTGCTGTCTCATGTATGTTGACCATATAACATTACAAGACCTCATAAAATATCAAGGTGTCAAATGTGAAGTGTTGCAAGGATACTATTACGATGGAAACAGAGATATGAGAATAAGAGATGAAGTAAAGAAGTTGTTTGAGTTAAGGTTAAAGTATAAGAAAGAAGAAAACCCCTTACAAGAAATTATAAAACTCATTCTGAACAGCATTTATGGCAAAACTATTCTATCTCCTATTGAGTCAAAAATAACCATAGTAAATGACAAAGATGCTATAAGATATGCTATAAGAAATTACAACCATATAGTGAAGTTCGAAGGTTTGGATGGTTCAGATAAAACTATTTTCAAGCTAACGAAAAGCATTTGCAGACACTTTAACTTCTGTCCACTTGGTGTTAATATTCTGTCTATGTCAAAACGTATTATGAATGAAGTATTCTGTACTGCAGAGGACATGGGACTTCAAATCTTTTACCAGGATACCGACAGTATGCACTTATATAATGAAGACATCCCAAAGCTTGCAGCAGAGTTTAAGAAAGAGATATGGTCGCGAACTTATAGGAAAGAACCTTGGTCAATTTCATAGCGACTTTGCAGAAATAACACCTGGAAAACAAAGTTTAGCTTATAAAAGTATTTTCTGTGGAAAGAAGACCTACATAGACTTACTCACTAACGATTTAAATGAAGTTGCATTTCACTGCAGAATGAAAGGCGTGAAGCAAGATGTTATTGCTTTAACCGCTAATGAAATGTTTCCTGAAGCTATACAATGCTATTACAATGAAGATAAGAACATTCACATACCTGTTGGAACATATGACAAAGACTCTGAGTTCAGTTTAATGAAACTTTACAAAGCACTTCATGATGGTCAAGAGATTGCATTCGACTTATGTAAGTCATGTCAACCTTGCTTTGCTGAAAAGTTCAACTTTTCAATAACGACTAAAACAAGCTTTATTCGTAAGTTGAAGTTCTGAGGTCATTTATTTTTGTCAGCAATGAGGTCATGAATGAGGTCATGAATGAGGTCATTCGTGATAAAAATAAAGCTAGCGTAGATTTTACAATACTGCGATGGTAGAGTTTAAGAGTTGTGCTTCAATGTAGAGACAGTCCTTATGGTCTGGAGGCAAGAACACTGGACATTTATGGTCATGAGTGGAGAACATGTCTATCCAAAACTCACGATTGAAGCCAGTTAATTTATAGTATTTAGGGTTAGGAAGTGGTGAAGTTCTTGTATGACCAATGAACTCATTTTCAACTCCTTTACTTAAGTTTGAATATAATATAGCTTGCTTTCTATCCCAAATGCCAGGTGTTACAATCTTTGAAAATTCATTTTTCCTCGGAAGCATTGCATCATAATTGAAAACATTCTTAAAATCATCACTTGGTTCGGAGATTTGAAATCTTATACGTAATGGATTTTTTTTCTCTTTAGCGACTTCATTGAATGGTGAGAATACAATGAATTGACAGTCATGAGTTCCATCTTCATTTTCATTAAATTCATAATGAAAGTCTATAAGTTGTGGCTGACTACCTTCTTCTTTCAGTTGTGCAAGAAACTCACGTAAAGGCTGTAAAGTTTGTACTTCAATGTTGAACTTTTTCTCGAACATCTCATTAAATGAAATCATACATTGCAACAATGTTGTATCGTCTTTAAAGTATTTGTATATGTGAATGTTTTGGGCGCTTAAAGACTGTTCGTCATTTTCTATCTCGAACTTGAAGTATAAAGTCAACCTTTCTGAAAGCACGTGTTATATACATATTTGTTATGCCAATGTACTTCTCTTCATTTATGTTCACAATCCAGTCTGTTGGAAACTTAAACGTTACTCTGTTCCCCTTTATTTTGACGTCAGGGTTTTCACTACTGAACGCAACAGATAAAGGTATTTGTCTATACATTTAGTTCGGATAAAAATAAACCATTTACTCTTTCTTTGCTTCAGCTTCTTCTCTAGCTTTCTTTGCCAGCAAACGTGGGTTCTTTTGTCTTCCAGCAGCTAATGCAGCAAGTTGTTTTTCACTAAGTTTTCTCTTTGGTCTCTCTGGCTTTTGTTCTTGTTTTTGTTCCTTCAGTTCGGATAAAATTTGCTCACGAATTTCTTTCTTCAATGCTTCAACATCTATGACACCTTGGGTCTTGTCCGTAGGGCTTGTCTGAGTCATTTGATTGCAGATAAAAAACAAAATTAAAACTTTAACCGATGTAAAATGAGCTTGTCAAAATCAGAGCGAGAGTCTATTATATTAAATGACGCAAGAGGAATACAACATCCTTTCTATTACGTAAGTCAGAGTAAAGATGGTAAAATATACGTAAGAAAAAGAAAGGTACCATTAGCGAATGCAGAGAGCGACAACATTAAGGTGCATGGCAAGGGTGAAGTCCATGAAGTCCATATAAAACCTTCTGTTCAAACTGAGCCACCAAAAGAACAAGAAGAAAAGAAGCCAGATGTACTTTCAATAACGAACCAAGAGCTTATTGCAAAGTTCGTGAATTTCATTGAAAAACAAACCGAGTCAAAGAACCCTGACCCGCCAGTGAAAGAAGTTGAGACAAAAGAGAATGTACAGTTCATTGAAAATGTCAAGAAACAACTTCCACCACGAATGCCAAGAAGAAGAGTGAGAATAATGAAGTAAATAGATATTTTTATCTGAAGTAAATACATGCAGAACGAACAGCTAAACGAATTTACTCCAGCAGAGCATATTCATCAGATTCGCTCATATTTCGATATCATAGACAATGCAGTTCAAATTGGTGACACTAATAGAAAATATTCTGACGCAAAGATTCCATCACAACCTGGAACTGCTAAAGATAACACATGGGTAACATTCAATCTCTCACCTCCTGGTGAAAATATGTTGGACCTTTACAATACATTCATTACGTATAAAATGGAAGGTCAATTTATTGTAGATAAAGAAATTGGTTCAGGTTCCAATAAAACAAACCCACCAGGATTTTGGATTGGTTTCGATGACGCTTTCTATGCAGTTGCTGGATATCAAATCCTTGCAAATGGTCGTATCGTATATTCTCAAGACAACGCAAGAGAAGAAGCATATATAACTTCAAACTCACAAACTACCGAACAAATAAAGAAAGTAGATGTTTTCTCAAAGACTCGACATGAAGATGTATGGAGTCATTCGGGAACATGCAGAACAGGACAAATTGTTAGTGGTCCAATTACAGCAGGAAAATCATTTGATTTTAAGCTTCGTTTAAGAATTCCTGTTAGAAAGTTTTTACCATTAGAAGCTATAAGATTTATTCCAGCTTTTGCAGGAAACATTCAGCTTAAAGTAAAGTTCAGTAGCGACGCCTTACAATGCACATCTATATCTGTAAATGATATCATTGCTTTCAATCCAACTCTTAAAGTTGCATTTGCTTCAGATTCAAATCCACCGACAAATAAATTTGTTCCATGGAATGAACCATTCACTATGATAACGAAGGCAGTAGAAGCTAGTGGAACAGTTACTATTACAACTGTAACCCAGCAACTATTTCGAACAAAGATGGATTTTAATGAATGTTTCATTCATCCAAAGTCATTCTCTTTAGACCCTAACATTTATACAGAACTTGTAGAACATTATACAAACGAGGCTTTATGTTTTCCTGTTAAAGTTATGGATTGGATTCCTATGGACGGTTCATTCTCAAAGAATACAGATAGTTCAAGTGCAACATTTACAGCAGCTTATACGCCTATTAATGTTAAAAGTATTTCGGCACTATTTAGAAAGAAAGACAACTATTATGTTAATTTTGAGAACCCTAAGTTTAAATATCTTCAGCTTTCCATGGGAGCTTATGGAAATATGCCTGCAGAACCTGAAAAATCATATGGACCTGTATTTTATGAAATGGTTGCGAACGCTTGCAATACAAACAATGATATGATAGGATTTAATGAAGATGTTATGAGGTCATTGGTGGATGATGGTAGTGTGGAACATAAATGGGATAGCTATGACAACACACATTTCTTATGTGGTTTTCCAACAGAAGTGGACTTTTGCTTCCAACAAGGTCAAACATCTACTGCTCCAATAACATACAAATTGTCTGTTAAAGGACCTATTGAACTAGCAACTGAAAACGTACCAAAGCCACTTATTGGATTTATGAGGGATTGTTGCTTTGCCATTCAGGTGCGTGCTAATGGCATCCCATAATAAGATTAGATGACTATAACTTAGCCACGGACGACAGTGAGGAATAAAGGATGAACGTTTATTTTTAAAGCTTATAAATGAGTTCTTCATCAAGCTCTCGCGAACCTTCACCATCTATGAAACAAACTTTACCAAACGATTATGGAGCACCTATTGAATATTTCTTACGAGCTGCACAATGGCAAAGAGCAGTCTCACCAAGGTTAGGTGTTCCACCAGCTCCTGTCAAAAATAGCATTTGGTCAAGTCCTTATATAAATATGGTCTCCCACTAGGTTTGCTAGCTACAGCAGGAGCAGTTATGATGTTGAAAAGAAATAAAGCAAATGTTATAAATAATACTGAAGTAGCTGAAGTTAAACAAACTCCAACACATTCGCCAAAACCAACGCCTTCACAAGCAAAACCTTCAATAACTCCTGAACCTATGGAAGTACAAACTCCTGTTCAAAAGTCAACTCCTAAACCGACTCCAACATTTAAACCAGAACCCACGCCTCAAATAAATCGTAAAACTCCTGCGTTTCCTTACTGAAAAAATAACGTTATTTTTATTTAATATTAAAATTTTTATTTGATTGAAATGACGACTAAAGTCACTGAAGCAATGAAACAAAAGTTTTTGGTAGAATACATTAAATCAGGAGCGGTTCCAGAAGGTTTTTACGTTCATACTATGAAGGATGGTAGAGTTCAGTTTAGAAAGATAAAGCAACCATTAGATAAAGAAGGAATTTTGAGAAAGATTAAACTTCATGAGGACAACATTGCTGAACTTAAGAAGAAGTTAGAAGAGTTGGAGAAAGGAAGAGAGTTATAAAGTAATGAATTCAACGGGTGAAAAAAGAGGTGAAAAAACAGGTGAGATCTCACCACTTCACCTAAATTTATTTTTGCGCTATGTTTTCATACGTGTGAGGGTGGTGATATCATTAATTTTTAAGTTTATTTTTTATTTTAATGAAAATTTTTATTTGGATGTAAATGACAGAACAAAAGCAACTCATACAAATCGAAAAATATAACAAACATACATTTAAACATTTATTCTTCCTTCCTGAGCATAACATGTTCTTTCAAATACATCCGAGACCAGTTGACTTTTCATTGACTGTGTATAAAGATAGAAATAGTTATATCATTAAACCATATGATGACGAAGGTAAGTTATGTAAATTGTACGTTAAGAAGTTAGAGAAAGTTTATGGCTTCAAGTATGACTACAATAGGGTTAACACTGATGATGAAGATATTGAGGAAAATTTATGAGAACATTAGTGAAGTCGTTAGTGAGAACGATAGTGAGAACGTTTATTTTTTTACATTAGTGAGTTCGTTAGTGAAGTGGTTGGCGGCTTTGTAAATATTTAAGGTTAAGTTAGTGTTGTCGTTTGTGTTGTAAAATATACGTTAACGGTTTTGTAAAGTGTCAAATTCACAAGTATTGGGTAAGGTGGAACGCAGTGCCACAGTACCCAACATAACCATACTAACTACTATTACATCTAATAGAACCCAACTGAATTAAAATCAAATCATCCGAAACATTTAATGGTAGATGAAGATGGTTTAGCATTAAAAAATTGTCACTTTTTTTAAAATTTCGTATTTTTAAGAGTATGTTGAAAATTAAACATACTCTTAATATATGTTAATAATTATCATTTGATAAAATTATTTAAATAGTAATCAAAATATTGTTATAAATATTAATGGAGTTGAAAAATTATGATCATAAAAGTAAGATGTTAGCATCTAGCCTCAGTAGATACTAAGTCATATCAGAATAGACACATATTCATCCTCAATTGACTCTTACTCATATTCAATTGGTTCTCACAAATAATCAATTGATCCTTACTACTGATCAATTGATTCTCACAAATAATCAATTGATTCGCATTAATTATCAATAGATTCTCACTAAGAATCAATTGATTCTCAGTCACCCTAAATTGATTCTCACTACTTATTAATTGATTCTTACTCATCCTTAATTGATTCTCGCTAAGAATCAAGTGATTCTCACTCTTCCTCAATTTCTTCTTAGTATTATTCAATTGATTCTCACTGATGTTCAGTTGAATCTCACTAATAATCAAATGATTCTCACTCATCCTCAATTGATTGTCACTTATTCACAATTTATTCTTAAACAACCTTAATTAACTCCCAGTATTCTTCAATTGATTCTCACTAATTATAATTTGATTCTCAGTCATCCTCAATTTATTCTAACTCAATAAGAATATGAATATGAAAATGGATTGGAATAGGTGATAATTAAAATATATTGATATGAATTTGTGAGAGTGTCTTTAATAAAGAAAAATTTGTCAAAGAACAATAATGTCAAATTGGGTGGGAGCATATAGTAATGAAATATTTATTGATAAATATTAATGTCATAATAATTGAGAGCATGTAGTAATGAAAAATTAATTGATAAATAATAATATTAAATAGGGTGATTGCATTGATCAATACATATATATGAATGAATTTCGATGTCAAACCGTCAGTCATATTGTTAGTCAAAACGTCAGTTATATTCTCATTCATACACTCACTCAAACCGTCAGTCATATTGTCAGTCAAACTCTCAGTCATATTGTCACTCAAACTGTCAGCCAATTGTCAGCTAAACTCTAAGTCATATTCTAACTAAAGCCGTCACTCATATTATCAGTCAAAACGTCAGTCATGTTGTCACTCAAACTATCAGTCTTATTCTCACTAAAATCATCAGTCATACACTCTCTTAAACTATGAGTCATATTGTCACCCAAACTCTCAGTCATATTCTAAATAAAACCGTAAGTCATAGAGGCTGTCAAACCGTCAGTCATATTGTCGGTCAAACCGTCAGTCATATTATCAGTCAAACTGTCAGTCTTACTCTCAATAAAAAGCTAATTCATAGTGTCTGTCAAACCACAGTCATATTGTCACTCAAACTGTCAGTAATATTCTAATTAAAGCCGTCAGTCATATTGTCAGTCAAACTGTAAGTCATACACTCACTCAAATCAACAATCATATTGTCACTCAAACTATCAGTCTTATTCTCACCAAAACCGTCAGTCATATTGTCAGTCAAATCGTCAGTCATTCACTCACTCAAACCGTCAGTCATATTGTCAGTCAAACTGTCAGTCATTCACTCACTCAAATCAACAGTCATATTGTCACCCAAACTGTCAGTCTTATTCTCACTAAAACCATCAGTCATACACTCTCTTAAACTATGAGTCATATTGTCACCCAAACTCTCAGTTATATTCTCACTAAAACCATCAGTCATACACTCTCTTAAACTATGAGTCATATTGTCACCCAAACTCTCAGTTATATTCTAAATAAAACCGTAAGTCATAGAGGCTGTCAAACCGTCAGTCATATTCTAACTAAAAAGCTAATTCATAGTGTGTGTCAAACCGTCAGTCATATTGTCACTCAAATTGTCAGTCTTATTCTAACTAAAAAGCTAATTCATAGTGTCTGTCAAACCACAGTCATATTGTCACTCAAACTGTCAGTAATATTCTAATTAAAGCCGTCAGTCATATTGTCAGTCAAACTGTAAGTCATACACTCACTCAAATCAACAATCATATTGTCACTCAAACTATCAGTCTTATTCTCACCAAAACCGTCAGTCATATTGTCAGTCAAATCGTCAGTCATTCACTCACTCAAACCGTCAGTCATATTGTCAGTCAAACTGTCAGTCATTCACTCACTCAAATCAACAGTCATATTGTCACCCAAACTGTCAGTCTTATTCTCACTAAAACCATCAGTCATACACTCTCTTAAACTATGAGTCATATTGTCACCCAAACTCTCAGTTATATTCTAAATAAAACCGTAAGTCATAGAGGCTGTCAAACCGTCAGTCATATTCTAACTAAAAAGCTAATTCATAGTGTGTGTCAAACCGTCAGTCATATTGTCACTCAAATTGTCAGTCTTATTCTAACTAAAAAGCTAATTCATAGTGTCTGTCAAACCGAAGTCATATTGTCACTCAAATTGTCAGTCATACACTCACTCAAATCAACAGTCATATTGTCACCCAAACTGTCAGTCTTATTCTAACTAAAACCGTAAGTCATAGAGGCTGTCAAACCGTCAGTCATATTGTCATCCAAACTATCAGTCTTATTCTCACTAAAACCGTAATTCATATTGTCACTCAAACCGTCAGTCATATTGTCATTAAAACGGTCAGTCATACACTCACTCAAATCAACAGTCATATTGTCACCTAAACTCTCAGTCATATTCTAAATAAAACCGTAAGTCATATTGTCAGTCAAACTATCAGTCTTATTCTAACTAAAACCGTAAGTCATAGTGTGTGTCAAACCGTCAGTCAAACTGTCAGTCTTACTCTCAATAAAAAGCTAATTCATAGTGTCTGTCAAACCGAAGTCATATTGTCAGTCAAACTATCAGTCTTATCCTAACTAAAAAGCTAATTCATAGTGTGTGTCAAACTGTCAGTCATATTGTCACTCAAACTGTCAGTCTTATTCTAACTAAAACCGTAAGTCATAGTGTCTGTCAAACCGTCAGTCATATTGTCAGTCAAACTGTCAGTTTTACTCTCAATAAAAAGCTAATTCATAGTGTATGTCAAACCGTCAGTCATATTGTCAGTCAAACTATCAGTCTTATTCTCACTAAAACCATCAGTCATACACTCTCTTAAACTATGAGTCATATTGTCACCCAAACTCTCAATCATACACTCACTCAAATCAACAGTCATATTGTCAGTCAAACCGTCAGTTATATTGTCACTCAAACTGTCAGTCTTATTCTAACTAAAACCGTAAGTCAAAGTGTCTGTCAAACCGTCAGTCATATTGTCAGTCAAACTTTCAGTCATACACTCACTCAAATCAACAGTCATATTGTCATCCAAACTATCAGTCTTATTCTCACTAAAACCGTAATTCATATTGTCACTCAAACCGTCAGTCATATTGTCATTAAAACGGTCAGTCATACACTCACTCAAATCAACAGTCATATTGTCAGTCAAACTATCAGTCTTATCCTAACTAAAAGCTAATTCATAGTGTGTGTCAAACCGTCAGTCATATTGTCAGTCAAACTATCAGTCTTATTCTCACTAAAACCATCAGTCATACACTCTCTTAAACTATGAGTCATATTGTCACCCAAACTCTCAATCATACACTCACTCAAATCAACAGTCATATTGTCAGTCAAACCGTCAGTTATATTGTCACTCAAACTGTCAGTCTTATTCTAACTAAAACTGTAAGTCAAAGTGTCTGTCAAACCGTCAGTCATATTCTCAGTCATACTGTAGTTCATACTATCACCCAAACTGTTGTTCATACTGTCACTCAAACTCTAAGTCATATTGTCAGTCAAACTGTGAGTCATATTCTCTCTCAAACCTTGAGTTATACTGACAACCAAACCCTCATTCAAAATGTCACTCAAACTGTCAGTTATATTCCTAGACACATTCAAACTTTCAGGCATATTGTCAGCCAGATACTCAGTTATAGAGTCACTTTTTTGTCATTAATGAATTCAGTTATAGATTCAAACATACATTCGGTCCAATATTGGATCATGCAGTTAATTCTACATTTTTTTAACTTGTAAGTCATTATTTATGAAAATATAGGGTGTCCAAAGGTGTGTTTAGCACAAACCTGAATACTGCGAATAGAAATAAACAAGTTACATATATATAAAGTTTATTTAAATATAATCACCATTGGATTCAATCACGCGTTCGCAGCGATCGATCCAGGCTTGAAAGACACGCTTTAAATCATCATGAGAAAATTGCTCAAATTGCTCTCTTACAAAATTTTCAAGATCATCTGGACTCGCGAATTCGCGTCCTTCAGCTCTCTTTTTTAGCGTGCCGAATAAATAAAAGTCAGAGGGTGCAATATCAGGTGAATAAATTGGGTTTGGAACAACTTTGACATTGTTTTCCACCAAGTAATTCATTACCTTATGACTTTTGTGAACTCTTGAATTATCAAAATGAATTGCAAACTTTTGTTTTTGTTGTTTGGATTTCTCAAACTCATCAGAATTGATAATTTGAGTAAGAACATTGTCAATTAGATACTGAGCATTCATCGTATTAGGTTTTTGAAGAATATCAATTGCGATGATGCCATTCACGCCCCAAAAAACCGACAACATCATCATTGGTGTGTCAATTTTTTTCTTCGGGAATGTTTGCGGATTTTCATCCTTCGGGATCCACATGATTTTGGCTTCTGTTGCATATTGAAACCAAGACTCGTCCCCTGTTGCTAAAAAGCGAAACTTCTTGGATTGATACGCACCAATATAGAGAGGAGCTCTTTCGAAGATTGGACTCTAGATTTTTTTTGAACTGAATTAAGGTTGTGCGGAACCCAACGTGTATACGCTAGTTTGTAGTTCAAATAATTGTGCAGATAATAACTGACTGTTGTACGTGGTATCTTTGTCATCTCCTCTATCCTTCTGAGTGATGCTCTTGGGTCTTCATCTAGCGCTTGAAGAATTGCTTTGATTTTTCTTTGATCCGGCGATTTTTTGTCAATTTTTATGATGGGCGCCTTTTTGTTCATGAAGTGATACATCCTAACATGATACGTTACAGTGGAATAGCTAGGAGCATCCATACCGAAGCATTTTACCAATGTCTCGTAGATTTTTTTACAGTCTTTGCATTTTTTTGCAAGAGCGAGGATGTTTTCTTTATGATTCATTAAAAAAATGAAAAAAATCCCGCCAAAATTTCCCGCGAAACCGCCTCTTGTCTCAAAATTCATTTTATATCCCGGCATGGCGCCAAAATACAACATACTCATCATATACATATATTCATATTTTTTATTATATATTTATAATCAGCATATATCTCCTTTAATAGTCTCATATAGAGCGCTGTGCTAAACGCACCTTTGGACACCCTATATTTAAAATAGTGTAATTGCACAATGATGTGCAGTATTATCTTTAATATTAATATTGTAATATGATATTAGATTTTATCATATGAGATATTAATATTGATTTATGGATCACTGCACAATGATGTGCAGTATTATCTTTAATATTAATATTGTAATATGCAATGTTATATTCTAATTTGAATGTTCCTTTTTAACCTCATGATTTCTTCTCACTGATCTGCATTTTTATGCAGCATTTTGTATTTAATCTCTCTTATCCTTTAGATTCTCTATGCTTTCCATCTTTCTAAACCAGATTCCATTGTTAATTCTTAAATTAACACAAATCTTAAATTTCATATTAGTCATTGATCTGAAGTTATTGAAACATCTGATGTCTTTAGATTATCTTATCTAATATTAAAATGATTGATCTATTTACATTTTTAAAATAGTCCTAAAAAGTCTCAATATTTATAAAAGCATAATAAAATTAAATTTTTTAATATCATTTTCTAAATTATTCGTTTACTTTATGGCATAGTCTTGAAAAAGTATCAAAAAATTATCTTAATGGTCTCTAAAGAGGTTAAGTAGCATACACACAGATATGCTAATGTGGTAAAAAGAGATTTATTGCAAAAAGTCCAAAATAGTATATTTATTATCAAGATTCGCGTGGAAACGTACGAGTTTGGGACGAATAACTAACATTCTTAAACATTTAGTAATACTCTGATAAGTACAAGTCCTTAGATGCGACATATGGCTTCTTTTGTTCTAACTTACCAAATTCAAGAACTCAAGTTGGCAGTAACTCTGTACTAAACATACTCTAAGAGCTTGTCATTATTCCGTGTATGACAAATCATACTTTAATGTTTTACTCGTTGAATAAAGAATGCTTGATTTTGAAATCGAATGTTTTTGCTTAAATAGTTCCAGATTCTTGAACTAGGGACGGAATTAGAGGACACGTCTTTGCTGGTTAGTCGCGTGCTTGATGACAATATGCTACAATTATAATAAACGTACAAAAGGGACGAAAATTGAGAACTTGTAACTTTCAACCGTCAATTTTTTTTGAAAATTAAAAACATTAATAAGTTAATTTGGAAACTAGACTAGCCAAATTGAGCACATGAGACAAAGCGATAAGTTCCAAGTTCTAAAACAACTGTTTATGTTATAGAATCAAATCAAGAATGAAAACAGCTTAATATAAGGGATGTGATAAACTATCTTAGACTTATATGATTGAATAAGCTAGCTTATTCGAATTGAATGTATTTTGGCAGATGATCCAATTTCAAAACTCATAGTAAATTGTAAAGAAATGAATCATTTTAAATAACTATCTATTACAAAGTTAAAAAAATGTAAATATTTTATCATAATTACAATAATGGAGAAAGAAACTCTATTGATCGATTGTGATGGTGTATTGTTTCCTGAATCTGCTTTACCAATAGCAAAGATTACTCAATCTCTGAAAAATGCTGCATTAAAAATTGGATATTCTGCTGCAGATATCAAAGAAGCTCGGAAAAAGGCCGAAAAAAATCAAGAACTTGGGCTATTCAACTCAATATGGGAACTATCTGGTAAAGATATTGAAAGGTTTGAAAGTATATGCTCTGAAGCATTTAAAACAATTGACTATAGCAAAATCATTTCAAACAGAAAATTGTATGATTTGTTAAAGAATGCATCTGAATATTATAATATATTTATAGCTACTAACAATCATTTACTGCATTTTCGCAAAGTTTTCGAAAGATTATTTGAGATGGAATTCAGTGATGATTGTTTTATAACATGTATTGATATAACTCAGACATTAGATAATGGATGCTTCCATCCAAAGCAGTCAATAGATGGTTTGAAGATATTCGCAAGAGTTGCTAAGACTAGACCGGAAATGTGCATACTGCTGGATGATAGTTCAATAAATATTCAAAGAGCCAAGAAAATTAATATGAAAAGTATGGAAATTGGTTTAGTTCAAAATCTTGAATTTTGTTTAAAGGAGCTACTTTCATCTCAGATGTCGAGAATAAAAGTTTAGTAAAAGACACCAGCATCAATTTTTATTATCTAAAGAGATTTGAAATAAATTAAAAGAATAATATTTTAATTATAAACAGCCTAAAAGGCTAAATATCAGAATGACGGCTTGGCCGAGTGGTTAAGGCGCGGGATTGCTAATCCCGTGGATTTATCCGCGTGGGTTCGAATCCCATGGTCGTCGTAAATCTTTTTTTCAAAAAACTCAAGTGTTTTAAAATTCCATGGAGCAAAATGCCCGGAATTTCCAATTTTCCCTCACATTCTATGAAATTGAAAGAGCTCTGGAGGAAAATACATCCATATTTGACTTATAGCTATGAAAAAAATCAATTTTTATATTAATAATGCAAATAACTTAAACATTTGAATGAAAGTCTTATTATTTTCGATATTTCTAAGGTTATTGTGTTATTATAAATCTATGTCCTTAATCAAACTGCATAAAATGTATCCGAAATCTTTGTGATTAGTGTTTTATACATATTTAATACTACGATTTATGCATGGGCAAATGGCGGGTTATTTGCACCGCCACACTCAATTTGAACGATAGGTGGCGGGAGGGGAAAAATTCATCCAAATAAATTCAGTGAATTGCGAGAAATCTACAAACACTACATTGATACATATAATGCATTGTATCAGCTGAAAACTGAAAATGAAGAAGAATTAAACAAGATTTACAAAATGATCAAAACAAATTTGATTGACTCAAAGAAACTTTACCCACAATCTATTATAAGAAATATCTTAAATATCATTCCGTATAATAATCGCTATACAAAGTCATATTTATCTCTTGCCAAACTCATATCTGATGATTATCATGTGGAAGAAGTCAGACGAATTCCAATTATCTCTAACTACATGTTTTATAAAGAATATGGAATTAAATTAGACAAATCTAATGATTTTGAAAAAATTCAAACAGAAAATTTATCCATTCACACAGAAAATACAATTTACAAAGCAATTATGTATAATGACAAAGAAACATTCATCTCCTTCACAGAAAGAGGTGGATTTGATAAAGATCAAATTCTTGACAGCCGTTTGTATCCAGATTCTGAAAAAGGATATTCATTACTTGAATTATGTTGTTACCATGGAGCAGTTGATTGTTTCAAATTATTAAGAACAAAATTTAACTCTGAAATAACTGAAACATGTTTACAATTCTCATTTTTAGGAGGAAATCCAGAGATCATGAGTGAATGTTTGAAATCTCAAACGCCAAATAAAGAATGCATGAAATATGCAACTATTTCACACAACATTGATTTTGTTACATTCTTGTTGAATGATTTTAATATTAATATCAATTTAGAATATTGTGCAAAATTTAATCTTGAATCATTTTTAGTTTATTTCGATCAAACTAATGATATTCACAGATGTTATACTTATTCGGCGTTGTTTGAAATGTTATCTCTTTGTGAATATTTCCTTTCACTTCGTACAAATATTAATATTTCAATGGGAGAATATGGAACAGCTCTTCACATTGCAGCAATGTATAATTGTAAAGAAATAGCTGAATTTCTTATATCGCACGGTGCAAATATCAACGAAAAAACAAATAAAGGAAGCACACCTCTTCATGATGCAGCAAAATCTAATAACAAAGAAATAGCGGAATTTCTAATTTCTCATGAAAAGAGAACCGCTCTTCATGATGCAGCACGGTATAATAGCAAAGAAATGGCTGAACTTTTAATTTCACTTGGTTTAAATATCAACAAAAAAGATAGACATGAAAATACCCCTCTTCATGATGCAGCATGGAAAAATAGTAAAGAAACTGTCGAATTTCTTCTTTCACATGGCGCAAATATCAAGGAAAAGAATAATGTTGGAAAAACCGCTTTTCATCTTGCAGCATTGAATAATTGTAAAGAAACTGTCGAATATCTTCTTTCACATGGCCCAAATATCAATGAAAAAGATAATAACGGATATACCGCTCTTCGTATTGCATTAGATGATAGTAAAGGTGAAATTGCTAATCTTCTTCTTTCACATGGCGCAAATGTCAATGAAAAAGATAAAAATGTAAAAACTGTTCTTCATTTTGCAGTAGAATATTATAATAAAAAAACAATCGAAGTTCTTCTTTCACATGGGGCAAATATCAATGAAAAAGATAGATATGGCAAAACCGCTCTTCAATATGCATTAGATTATAATAAAAATGATATTGCTGAACTTCTTATTTCACATGGCGCAAATATTAACACAAATATTAAGGATGCGCCCAAATACATGTTAATTTGAGAACTAGACATGTATACATTATTAATGAATAATCGGCAGGGAAAAAATCTTTCATTTTCTCACTAAAAATACAATTTTTATGGGCAAAGAAGATTAAAAACATAATAACTTGGCAAAATCTTTTTTACAGGTTCCTACATGATGCTTTTATTAAGACAAGCAAGCAAACTATACTGTTGCTGATTAAGATTTCATTTTTTATCTTTGCTTCAAATCTCTGAATTTTAACAATGTTTCACCCAAAAGCACTAATAGTTTATATGTTTGTTTCTTAAATTCCAAATTAGTCTATATTTAACTCATTATATTTTTTATATTTTCAGTAAAATTCAGTAACTATCTATAATAAATTCTCGGATTTATCTCATATCATATAATGATAATCAATTTTATTTAAAGCCTCCGGTTATTAATCTGTGAAATACAATGATATTAAAAAAAGAGGATGTTATGAAAGAACGTTTAAAGATTCTTTTGGTAGACCTTCTAATAAATATAATATTTGAGTAGAATGTGAATTTTGTTTTTACAAAAAAATAGGACAGGTTATTAGATATAATTTTTAAACGATGATGTAAATATTAAACAATATATAGCAGGCGAACCCTGTTTTTATGGCATGACTCTTGCTTTAAGGTTTAATTGGCTCTGCTTCTTTATTATCTGTTTCCTGCTCGTCTCTCTTTGGTTTGATGACAAGGAAGTAACAGCTACCAATGAAATGATGACTAGGGCTAAGAGGATTACAAGAACAAGAAGGCTGATTTCAACACCTTGCATTATAAGGCTGTCATTTAAAGCATAATGAAACTATTCCCTTTTCATTTTAATCGAATAAGATAGTAAAGATTTTTGAATTAGCTAGAAACTGATGAGATGTTTTCACAAATCAGATTTTTAATCTCTATAATGCATAATTCACTCAATATCTCAATTTTGATATTGCGAGATATTTTTGCTATCGGTTTCGCAATTTTGACACAATAGCAAGAGGGTTCTATAAGCATTATTATCAACGTAGAATCTGAATATCATATCAGAAAATGTCGCAAATCTGACATTTACCCGACCAAATAGCAAAAATAATTGAATGCTTTTCGCAAAAACTTTAAAAATCGATAAAAATATGAAATATAGATATTAAAGAGACTTTTTATATAATATTCATAAAGATTTTCCAAAAATATGATACCGCAAAATTAAAAAAGTGACGTCTTGAGTGGAGTCAAAGGTCGAAATTGCTAGCTAAATGTTTTTTTTAGCGAAATTGCGTATTGTACGTTTTTTTCGCAAAACGAAACCCTTAGTGAAAACATCTCATCAGTTTCTAGCTAATTCAAAAATCTTTACTATCTTATTCGATTAAAATGAAAAGGGAATAGTTTCATTATGCTTTAAATGACAGCCTTATAATATAATCATAGTTTTCGCTCAATATGCAGCATTTTTTTTCGAAATCTATGGTCAATATCCTAAATACTGATTGCTTTGCATTCATATCTCTTACATTTTCTATACCCACATCACTATTCATTGCTATTCCTATCTTTTTCATTTTTGTTTGTTTCTCATAATTTCTCAAAAAACACGATAACTTGATATTTGTAAATATCATACTTTATAACGTAAATAAGAACTTGACCTATTAAGAAAAGCAGTAATGAAAAGAAAATCTGAAATTCATAAAAATTACAAGTTTCTGATGACAACTAGCTTAATTAAACCAGGTACAAGATTATATAATTGTATTTTCTATCCAATTATCCATATAATATCTTATCCAGAAAAAAAAACTTGATCAATACCAAATGATTTTTTAACTAGTAAATAAAGTATTTTCTTTACACACACATTGTATATCATAGTTTTTTTTTTTTTTTGGTTTCGCAAAACATCCAAAAACAAATATGCTATAAAAGTGACAATTTTAGCAAAACGAAACCCTTAATTATATCCATGAAAAACCAAGAGCTTGATCTGACTAAATTACTCCATTTGAATCTGATATAAGGGTTTCGTTTTGCTAAAATTGTCACTTTTATAGCATATTTGTTTTTGGATGTTTTGCGAAACCAAAAAAAAAAAAAAAAACTATGATATACAATGTGTGTGTAAAGAAAATACTTTATTTACTAGTTAAAAAATCATTTGGTATTGATCAAGTTTTTTTTTCTGGATAAGATATTATATGGATAATTGGATAGAAAATACAATTATATAATCTTGTACCTGGTTTAATTAAGCTAATTGTCATCAGAAACTTGTAATTTTTATGAATTTCAGATTTTCTTTTCATTACTGCTTTTCTTAATAGGTCAAGTTCTTATTTACGTTATAAAGTATGATATTTACAAATATCAAGTTATCGTGTTTTTTGAGAAATTATGAGAAACAAACAAAAATGAAAAAGATAGGAATAGCAATGAATAGTGATGTGGGTATAGAAAATGTAAGAGATATGAATGCAAAGCAATCAGTATTTAGGATATTGACCATAGATTTCGAAAAAAAATGCTGCATATTGAGCGAAAACTATGATTATATTATAAGGCTGTCATTTAAAGCATAATGAAACTATTCCCTTTTCATTTTAATCGAATAAGATAGTAAAGATTTTTGAATTAGCTAGAAACTGATGAGATGTTTTCACTAAGGGTTTCGTTTTGCGAAAAAAACGTACAATACGCAATTTCGCTAAAAAAACATTTAGCTAGCAATTTCGACCTTTGACTCCACTCAAGACGTCACTTTTTTAATTTTGCGGTATCATATTTTTGGAAAATCTTTATGAATATTATATAAAAAGTCTCTTTAATATCTATATTTCATATTTTTATCGATTTTTAAAGTTTTTGCGAAAAGCATTCAATTATTTTTGCTATTTGGTCGGGTAAATGTCAGATTTGCGACATTTTCTGATATGATATTCAGATTCTACGTTGATAATAATGCTTATAGAACCCTCTTGCTATTGTGTCAAAATTGCGAAACCGATAGCAAAAATATCTCGCAATATCAAAATTGAGATATTGAGTGAATTATGCATTATAGAGATTAAAAATCTGATTTGTGAAAACATCTCATCAGTTTCTAGCTAATTCAAAAATCTTTACTATCTTATTCGATTAAAATGAAAAGGGAATAGTTTCATTATGCTTTAAATGACAGCCTTATAATATAATCATAGTTTTCGCTCAATATGCAGCATTTTTTTTTCGAAATCTATGGTCAATATCCTAAATACTGATTGCTTTGCATTCATATCTCTTACATTTTCTATACCCACATCACTATTCATTGCTATTCCTATCTTTTTCATTTTTGTTTGTTTCTCATAATTTCTCAAAAAACACGATAACTTGATATTTGTAAATATCATACTTTATAACGTAAATAAGAACTTGACCTATTAAGAAAAGCAGTAATGAAAAGAAAATCTGAAATTCATAAAAATTACAAGTTTCTGATGACAATTAGCTTAATTAAACCAGGTACAAGATTATATAATTGTATTTTCTATCCAATTATCCATATAATATCTTATCCAGAAAAAAAAACTTGATCAATACCAAATGATTTTTTAACTAGTAAATAAAGTATTTTCTTTACACACACATTGTATATCATAGTTTTTTTTTTTTTTTGGTTTCGCAAAACATCCAAAAACAAATATGCTATAAAAGTGACAATTTTAGCAAAACGAAACCCTTATTATAAATGTTTCTGTTCAATAAATTATCGAATATTTTAAATTGAAGATCACTAAATATCATCAAATCATTAATATTTCACTGATAAATAACTGTGTGAATCATTTGGAATTGCATTGATTGCATGATGGAGAGTGGGGGACAAACTCGCCCATTGTCACTTTTTCATTAACCTTAAACTTGTAATTTTCATTATTTTTAATTAACCTTATTTCTTTCCCAATTCCTGATTTATTTTATTCACTTACTATTAAAAGTCACATTTTAATAAAATATAATAATTTATTTATAGCATTTTTTACTATACTGTAATAAAAAATTAATTATAATAAATTAAATGTTTATTAAATCAAATGTTTTCTTTGCAATAATATTTTTAATGTTGAGTAAACAATGTTGGGATCAAGTGTATCATTTTTCAGACCTTTCTGAACAGCTTCAAGCATACTGATGCATTCGACTTTTTTAAATTGTGTCATTTCTTCGAAATCTCTTGTGACTTTTTTGATAACTTTAACACTTCTCTCTGAATCCAGACCTTTAATTTGCAACTTAATCAGGAATGAAGGAACAACACTGGAATATAACTCGATGACAAGTTCATCGAGTCGAAGATTTCGCCTTTCTTGGAAGTACTGGTGCTTCAAAACCTTGAAATGTGATTCCGAGATGTTGTTTGTTCCATCTCCTTCATTTCTATAGCGAAGCATCCACCTGTCAAGATGATGGCGCCACTGTTGGTCAAAGTATTCACGGGCAGCAGGTTCCTCATTTAAAATTTCTTCTAAATTGTTGTAAACTTCATCAGGATCAATTTCTTCCTCTTCAGAACCAAAGACCAATAACTTCATTAAGTTATAGAAAGTTTCGAAGTTGGAACGATCTTGAAACTTTTCAGCCTTTCTCATGACAGCGCGCAACACATGAACGCCACACCAAATGATCTGGCATAAGGGGATGGCTGTTTCAACAGCATTTGTGATTTGAGGTGCGCAGTCCATTGAAAAATAAGATGGTTCGCGATTGATGGAGCCAAAATATGCTGTGAGACAAACTTGTATATTTTCACTTGTGTCGGGCCAAACGAAAAAATACAAAAACGGAAAAACAATTGATTCCGCGAATTTGCCAGTGACGGCATAAAATGATATGCGAGAGCGCAAGAGCTTATAAGTGGAATCAATGTGATAAGTTTGTATTTGATGTGAAAAAGCATTTGCTTCGAATGGGGCGTAATAGAAAATCATACGATCTGGCTCGTGAATAAACTCGATGAGATCATCTGGAGAATGACTCTTAACCATGTCGACAAAAATTGCAAGAGATGTAACATCATCCGCTGAGAAACGGGTATTGATTGCATGAAGGCGTTTAGAAAACTTTTTTAAAGCATCTGTAGATTGTTGAAACATTTCCGGAATGATCCCACTATCAAATGGGATATTAAGATCTTTGAAACACCTTAATTGTGCGTAAACACGGTCTTGATTTGATTCAAAATATCTTGTTAAATAAGATCTATAAAAATATGATGTAATTTGTTGTGATTTGTTTGGAAAAGGGGCAGAATGATTGTGGGTGTTAATACATTTTCGTATGTGGTACTTGTCATCGGGAAGTGTATCAACAAGGAAGCGACATGGACAATTTGGCCACTTACAATTAAATTGGATTTGATTTCTTTCTTTCCTAGTTTTATATGAATAACTACAACCTGCTTGGATTTCTTGTTGCACTCCATACTTAAGCAACTCGATATATGTGAGTTCGTGATCTTGGATCTGCATTAAAATGAAATGATTTGAAAGAATAAAGAATTTTGAATATATTGGTCTTATTTTGATAAGCTTGGTCGTATTTTGAATAGCTTGGCCATCTAATTCAATTATGATCTTTGAAAATTAGGTGAAATAAAACTAAACATAAATGTAAAACTAGGGATATGAAATTTTGGTTGTACACCACTTGTATGTGCCGGATACCATTGTGTCAAATTTTTTCTGAAATTAACTTTAAAAGTACTATGTAAGATCATGAGATATAGCAATATATGTTTAAACCAACTTATATTTTGGTTGTACACCACTTGTATGTGCCGGATACCATTGTGTCAAATTTTTTCTGAAATTAACTTTAAAAGTACTAAGTAAGATCATTTATTTTTGCATAATATAATGCCAATATAGTTTCTTTTGATTTTATTTCATTTATAAGCAAATCAGATTTACCCAAAAACTCCACTCCATAAGCGTTCATTTGCTAAATTAAAAAGTGACAATGGGCTAGTCTGTCCCTTTCTCGCATGATGGAAGGATATTTTTTAATTTTTAAAAAATTCAAATAAATTAAAATTGAGTATATTTTTATACTGTTTCCATACAGACTGTTTAAAAAAAAGATATTGCTTATTTAAAAAAAAAATAAACTGACATGAATTTTTTTAATCTTTGTTTGCTAAGTTCTTCAAGTTCTTGAAAAGACTCTTATCTGGGAAACGATCGATAACTGAAGCAATATATTTCTCGCCATTATCAGCTTCAGCTTTAACAGATTCATACTTGCTAGTGATACCTTTCATGACTTCTGATGAAATTGATGTTGACTTCGGACTCTTCTTTACGAGTTGTTCCATCAATTGTGGAGTGAAGTCCTTGTAAACCTCAACAATTGCACCGTAGTCAAGTTTCATAAGACCATCAGACTCTGTGAGGATTCTTTTAAGAGAATCCAAGACTGATTTAAGGTTTTTAGACCATTGGTTGCTTTCATATTGCAAAAGCCAATCACTGAGGCTGAGTATATCATTATCTAAGTTAGAAGTGAACTCATCAAGAGATAATGATGTTGGCTGTTTGTATGAAATAATATAATAAGCGATGAACTGATGCAAGAATTGAGAAATGAATTTTCTGTACAAAGGAGCTAATAAAGCCTTTTTGGCTTCATCGCATGCTTGTTGTGCAGCTTCAAGTTTAGATGGGAAATTAATACGGATATCGTATTCATCAGGAATAGCAAAATCATTGATGATCAAATCATTCAAATGAGCAAATGCGTTCTTTTGCATTGTAGCCCATTTGTTTTTCAATGTCATAACTGCTGCTTGATCAACAACGTCAGGAAGGTCTTTTCCAAGATCTCCTGATGTTCTAATACCACTCAATGAGTTGTTGATAGCTGCCATGACGTATTTCCTGTTGTTACAGCTAACAACGTATTCACCGAGCGCTTGTGTGTCGCTTATAAATGTCATTAACAAACCAGATCTGATGTTTGGAAGACTGCCTGGTAAATTTGTTTCAATGGCAACTTTGTCAGCATCAATGAGTCTCTTCATGAAGTCATAAGGTGCTTGTGTACTCAATGTGCCATCACGATTAGTATCAATAGCATCTTCTTCCATGTTTATGATGTTTGTTAAGAATTGGTGAAGATCTTCAGGAATTTGACTTTCAAGACGTGTTTCGTATGTAATAAGACGTTTCTTCATCTCGTCGCTTGGCTCAACACCAAGCATATGGCCCATAGAACCAATGTAATCACGCATCCAAATGATAATACGTGAAAGTAAGAAAGTAGATGAGGTTGAATTCATAACAACTTTGTCGATGACTTTAAGGACTTCAGCGTTAGCAAGTTGGCCAAGGATATCCATGATTTGAATGCCTTGAACACTTTCTTGTGGTAAAGGAAGAGCTGGAATGATGATATCAAGAGTATCTGTAATGTTTTCGAGAACTTCTTGTAATTTCTTGAGAAGAGAGTCGAGCTGAGCAACGCTCAAGGCTGTATTAGCGTTCTTGAACTGGTCGGCAATTGAATCTGTCAATAAATCTTTAACTGTGATTGGCTGCTTAAGTCGGATTGAACCAGCAATAACAATCCAAACAGCACGCGCAAGACGGTCTGTAGTAATCTTCTGTTCTTCGTCTGTTGTGATTCTGAAGGCAGATGTAACAACACGTTGAGCATTAACAAGGAGAGTCATCATCTTTTCTTGGATTGGTTCGAATTTCTCGCAAATGAATGATTTTTGTGTTTCGTTTTTGAGATTTTCTAATAACTCTTCTTCAAAATCAAGAAGTTGAATAACAATCTTAAAGCATTGGATACTGAAATCACCTTCATGAGTGCGGCAGAATTCTTCGACGTCTTCCATTTGAGCCTCTGCTTCTGCAAATCGACGCTGAAGTTCAGAGACTTTGTAAAGACGACCTAAAATCTTAGCGAGATCTTTTGTTTCTTGGTATCGGGGCATATTTGCAGTTACGTCTTGGCATTGAGATGAAATTTCTGCGATGTCTTTTCTTAATTTCTTTAATGTCGCTGAAATATCGTCTAAATCATGTATGCCATCGTCTACATTACCGACGATCTGTTGGACACGCGCTTTGAGCTTACTTAGTTTGTCAGTATGTTTTGAAATTGTTTTCTGCTTCGTCTGTGGCAGAATTTCTAAGTCAGATTGTCCCTTCAGCTTCCTAGCAACGGAGTTGAAGGCTTGTTCCTCTGCCCTTTTCAATTCATATTCTAGTGCATTATTCATTTGTTTTTTTTTTTACTTTTTTTTATTCCATATTTTCTTCGAATCATACCCTGACTTTAAAAATAGAATCGTCATTAGCTAGAAACCCATCTTTTCATTTAAGATCATCCAATTCATCCTCATCGAATGGCAAAAATGTTCTAGTATGCACAATCTCATATTTTTATGAGATCATATATATTGAGTATAGCTTATTGAATTGAATATTCTAATATTACATGATCATATTCATGAATTCTAACTTTTTATTCAAATTAAACTTGAATAATGATTTTGGCTCTCAAGGTTTGAATTAAATAGCTTATGGTTTGACTGAATGCTAATTAGTCAATGAACATTATGGAACTAACAACGATATCTTGATGAAATAATCAAAGTTGGACCATTTTGTAAGGATAAATAAGAAATATATAATATGTAGAATCTATATCAAATGATACTCCAAAAATCACGTTTAATTTTTTTTATTTTAAAATTAACAGAAACAGATGTCTTCCTTTCGGGTATTCCTTTCTAAAAGGATGAAATCATCCAACGAGAATCCAATGCTGAGAATGTCCTGGAATAGGTCTAATGGCCTTATTGCAGGAGGTTACTCAGATGGTATGATATCTCTTTTCAACGTTACTCCTTCGCGTGAGCAACCTGGCTCAATTCAAGTTGAAACATCCGAAGTAATTAGTGTTCATAATAAAAAGATTACAGCCTTATCATGGTCAGATAACGGCAAATATTTTTCATCAGGTGATTCTTCAGGTAAAATTGCCTTCTTCGCAAAGAAGGAGAAAGGTTGGAAGAACATTGTCAACAATTCTTCAGTAAATTCATCTGTAAATAACATTAGTTGGTCGAAAAAAAATAATATCTTAGCAATTGCTTATCAGGATGGTACATGTGCATGCGTTGGCAACGAAGGTAACCTACACTGGTCAAACATGATGAGACAAGTACTTGAATTTCTCGAATGGTCTCCTAATTCAAAAGTTTTACTTGGTGGTACAATTTATGGCGAAATTCTTATCATCGATTCCAAAGGTGTCGAAATTAACACTGTTCCATTACCATGCCTTTCAAATTCAAAAACAGAACCAAAACTTGTTGCTCTTGAGTGGCACAAGAGGGCAGAATACGGACTTCTCATCGCTTTCAGGGATGGTCAAATCCAATTGATGAGAAATGAATCAGATTCCCAGCCTTTCGTTATTACAATGGAACTTGAGATTTCTACAGCCACATGGTTCAAGAATGGCCAGAATTTTGTTGCTGCTGGTATAAAACCAAACGGTAGAGCTGTTGCAATCTTCTTTAATGCTCACGGAGATAATATCAGAGAACTTGAACTTCAAGGCAAAGAAATTCATGCAATTTCCCTTGATCCTACAGATACATCGCTTGCTATTGCATCAGATCATCATTTCTGCCTTGCTCAAATTGTTCCTTCAATTATTTGGGCATATTCCAATAATGTTCTCTGCTATTGCTACTCAAAGAACAATGATAACATGTATCATGCTATTTTCTTCAACAGGAAATCAGGAGAAAGAAGAATCCAACAATTCAAAGATGTCCTCACTCTTTCAGCCCATTCCGGCTTCTTTACATTTGCCACAAAAACAGGAGCTGAAGATGCCACAATAACAGTCACAAATACAATTGGTGTCGCTTTAACTTCAGCACAAATTCCATTTATTCCATTCCAGTCATCCTCCCATGGCCAAACTACAGCTTTAGTTTCACAAAACAAGATTTGCGTCTGGAGATTCCAAGAAGATGAACAGCCACAGATTATTGATTTCCATGACCCAATAACAGCTGCTCATTTAACAGCCAAATGCCTCTATATTTCAGCAGGAGCGCAAATTGTTGTCCTTGATATGCCTTCTCTCGCTGAAATCACAAGATATACAATTAATTTCTCTTGTGAAATGATTGGCGCCAACGCAAATGGTTCTCTTCTCTCCTTAAATGACTCTTATGGTACAGTTCAATTCTTTTCAACCGAAGAAAAGAGGATTGTTGGACCAGTTTGCAAAGAAGTTTGGGCATCAGCATGGAGTAACGATAATCCAGACCAATTTGCAGCCTTGGAGCGTCAGAAACTTGTTGTCTTCAACGATCTTGACTCAGAAGAGCCTGTTTCCTGTTTATCTCATATTGCCGAGTTCACAGACTTAGAAATTCTCACAGTTGACCTTCTCTGGTTACTTAAGGATCCACAAAATCCAAGTCCGAGATATTTCAGAGTCCATCAGACAAAGCAATTAAGACAATTACAACAAATGCTCTCAGCAAGACCAGAAACATCAGTTGAAGATATCTTTGCATTCTGCAAGAAAGAAAACAAGACCAAATTATGGGATTCCTTCGCAGAAACTGTTATGTTAGAGATGAATTTCTCTTTAACAGAAAGATGTTACTTGGAAACAACAAATTACAAAGGTCTTCAGTTCGTTAAGCGTATCAGGACCGTCAAAGACCCCAATATCCAGAGAGCCCAAGTATTATCTTATCTCGGAAGATTCGACGAAGCCGAAAGTATCTATCTATCCATGGACAGATTGGACTTAGCCGTAGAAATGAGAAGATCAATCGGAGATTTCCACCACGTCCTCAAAATCATGGGAAACGGTGTTGGCGACGACGAAACAATTGCTGCAGCATATACAGCACGTGGTGACGAACTATGCGAACAAGGACATTGGAGTGAAGCAGCAATGGCATATTCACAAGCCAGAAACGACGAGAAACTGATGAAAGCAAGATTCCTTGCACAAGATTACGATGGCCTTGAGAGACAAATGATGGCTCTTCCAGCACAATCTCCTCTTCTCCACAAGATTGGCGAGATGTTTGTCGCAATCGGTGCTGTCGATGACGCAGTGACAGCATTCACTTCCTGTGGAGATATCGCAGCAGCAATCGATGCCTGCGCGAAAATGAACCATTGGAAACCAGCTTTGAAACTCGCAAGCAGAGGAAGAAACGAAGAAATCAAAGCGAGAATGGTCAAATACGCAGAAGATCTGATTGCTAATGGTCAAAGAGCATCAGCTGTTGACTTCTACGTAAGAGCAGGATTGAATGTCGAAGCGGCCAAGTTACTTTTGAAAGCAGGAGATGAAATTCTTGCAGTTGGAGATGATTTTATCTCAGCGAAGATGTGTTATATCTTTGCAGGAATACAATTGGAACAGCAAAGAAAAGGCGCTTTCGATGGCAGTGCAACAGCTGAAGAGAGATTGGATGGATTGATGAGAGAAGATGAAGTTACAACAAGTGGTTTGCACAGAGAAGTTTGGCGTAAAGCGGAAGGTGTCCATTTCTTGTTGTTGGCGAACAGGTTCTTCCAAGAAAGGAAGTACAAAGACGCATTAGTTGCTGCATGCCGCGTTTTCGATGATTACTCGGACATTGTTGGAGAAGCTCGTGCTGCATCATTACTCGCATTGTGCGGATTGAAGAAGAGATTCTTTGGTCAGTGCAGCCGCGCGATGACGACATTGGAACATTCTGATGAATTGCCACAAGCACAGAGAGAGAAATTCGAAGACTTGGCAATTGATATATTCACAAGAAATCAACCTGTTGACCAGGAATCCTTAGGAATTGTTCAATGTCCTAAATGTTCGGGAGTCGTTTCAAATCTTCAGTCTCAATGTCCTGAATGCGGCGAAAGAATGAAAGTTTGCACATACACAGCACGGTTGATTGATGGCCAGAACTACTGGGAATGCAAGTATTGCAAACACTATGTAATGATTGATGCTGTCGACGAATTAAGATACTGCCCTCTTTGCCATCATAAGATTACTCAATAATTATATTAAAGCATATGTTTATCTTAATCTATTTCATTTTTATATTTATAAAAATCTTGATTATTGTTTATTCTTGACTCAAGAATTAATATTTAACTTAAGGGTACACTTACCACTTTCTGACATGCTCTCAATTTTTTTGACATCCAAGCTTTATATCCCAATTTTCTATAATAAAAAGTTAATATCTTTTGTCGGGAAAAAGTTATTATTTATCACTGCTTAGTTCCTAGCATGGATATTATACTCTTTTTCCATTATATTAAAGATATGATGATATTATCTGAGTGTGTCAGAAAGTGGTAAGTGCACCCTTAAAAATAATTACTTAAAATGTAGCTTTAGTGTATGAAACACTTATTATTCAGGACTCTGTTATTGATCTATATGATTGTATCAAGAAATTATAATTAACATTTACGAAAAACACCTGTTTTAATAAATTTGCGAACGAATTTATGAACGAAAGACAAAAGGCTGAATTAGAAGGAAATAAAGGAAAAAGTTTATTTTGCAAAATTTCACTTAATGGATCATATGGTTACGATGCAATGAATACACAAAATTACGCAAAGACTAAAATAATGAATGCACAGAAGGCACGCGTTGCATGTATGTCAAATAAGTTTAAAAACATAAGAGAAATAGGTGAAGATACGTATCAAGTGATGCTCAAAGATAGATTTTATAGATGTGATACATGTTTACAAGAGGCATTCTTCACTTTAGATAATGCTAAATACTGGTATTTAGTTTTCATTTATGATTTTATGTATAAATGCATGAATGTTAATCGTTTTCATTTCATTGAAGGTGATACCGATTCATCTTATTGGGCAATCGCTGGCGACCCAAATCTTCCTAACACTCAAGCATTTCAAGCAATTGTTACGATAAACAATTTTATGATAAAAACATTTTCAAATTCGCACCTTTTGATTTCTTTTGTTTTGATGAGAAATTTAAACCTAAATTAAAGAATAAAGCTGAAGAAAAAGCACATGAGAAAAAAATATTGGGTTTAGCAATTGAGAAACAAGGTGATAACATGGTTGCTTTATGTCCTAAGTGTTATACATCATTCAACGGTTCAATTGATGGGGGTGATTTTAAAAAGATTGCACAAAAAATGAAAGGTGTTAGTTTAAGACAAAATAAGCAATTAACACCTAAAAATTATTTGGATATAATAAATGATAAAGTGATATTTGATGGTCAGAATATTAATTTACAACTTAAAAATGGGTCAATGACTCGCTTAACAATCGGTAAGACTGCATTAACAGGAGCACACACTAAGGCTGTATGTTGTGAAAATGGATGTTGTATGCCATTTATTTAATACAATTTTGAAAATTTTATTTTTAATGAAATGCCACAGAAGAGACAAAAGGAACCGTTAATGATGGTTTTGATACTATGATTCAAAGAGGTTGGCACCCTTAAACATTTATTTTATTTTTATATAAATGGATAACACAGATTTAAAAAATTTAATTGATGATTTAGTACTTAATCAAAATTTTCTTAGTTATTATGAATTAAAATCATATCTCCAAAAATATAATAATAATATAACGGGTGATGATATGGAATATTATTATCCATATTATAAAAATGAAATTTTGAAATATCATAATAAAATAATTTCTGAAATTAAAGACAAAATTAAAAATAATGAATATACAAAGGGAAAAACTAAATCACAACTTAAACAGTTGAAAGATTTCAAAAATAAAGTATTAACAGAAGAAGATATTGATGAATTATATAATTTATATAATCCTGAGCCACAAAAACCAAAGCCGAGGTCTAAAGTAGCAAATGTTCAACAGCTAAAGGAACAAAACGCCCAGGTCCTTCAGACCATAAATGATGCACAAGCTTTAATTTATGATTCATTAGTTAAACCATATTCAGCCCGACTTTTAAATGAAGATCAACTTTTGGAATTCATCCTTCAACATAAACTCGAAGCGGGAAAGTATATCAAACCTTTATATACAGCATATTTAAAACAAATGAATAGAATACATCCAGAATTAATGAAGGGGGAATGAATTCCAAAACTTCATCATCCAAAATCAAAGCAGATAAAATTAAACCACTTGCAATAAAAACCTCCAACGACAGTACCCCTCCTCCTTCAGTTAATTCTTCATCATTCACTTTATTATATCCATTTCAAACATTAAAGAAGCAAAAAGATTTTAAAAAGGATTTCAAGATATTAAATAAACCAATTGACCCGAAAATTCAACCGTTAAAGGAAAAATTTAGTCGCCCTTCATTTGCTCCATATCCATATTCATACGAAATCGATCATTTAGAATATTCAAAAGGAAACGTTACTTATTTATTTGCCATTAACATTAACACTAGATATTTATATTGCATTCCAGTGAAAGGGAAAACAGAACAGGAAACAAGAAGAGCTATACAATACTTACTAGATCATGAAAGAGTAGATAATATCAGGGGTGATGGTGATAAAGGATTTCAGGCAACTATGACTCATTATTTCCCACAAATTAATTTTTCTTCTCATCCTCTCCATATACGTTTCATAATAAAATAGTTGATGCGGTAATGAGAACTCTTAGAGATGCGTTAGGGGTTAACGGTCGGATATACTGGGATGGAAATCATGACTCCATCATACAGCAGTTAGTATATTATTACAATAATACATGGCATAGAACTATAAACATGAAACCAGTGGAAATGAAAAATGATATTTCAAAAGAATGGGAATATATTAGAAAGCAAATGGAAAGGTTGAATGATGTTAAACGTGAACAAATTAATTCGGGGCTCATGAATTTTAAACAAGGGGATAAAGTTTTGATTCATCTCGATTATGGAAAAACTAATAAATCAATGACAAAAAGAAGACGAAGATTTGACACAATAGCTGAATTTGTTAGATATATTAACGGCAATGCATTAGTTGAAGTTGACAATAAATTAATAGAAATTCCGATTTATTTTATTACTCCATTATATTTAAATAATATTTAATTTTTTTATTTCGTAAGAAATGAGTGACAACAAAGCAGTCAAGAGTCCTGATTTAATTAAGATTCAGAGTCCAGACGATGAATATAAAAAGAAACTAAACAGAATTAAATCAAAAATATGCTATTACAAAAAGAAGCCACAATGCGGTGGGGTTGATGCCCATAAAACTAAAGTAATTGAAAACGATGAAGAGAGGAAAGAAATAATCGAAAAATTAGAAACTTACCGTTCAATCCTTAAACTGGGTGAAGCAAAAATAAAAGAATTTAATAGAATAAATAAATTGATTGGAAGAGATGAATTTAATAAAGATGAATTTTTAAACTCTATCCAAATTTAATTTTTATTTTTCTTTGACAACATCTCTCTTTCCATCATTACTGCATAACCACATTTTCTCAGTTTTAGTGGTTTGTTATTTTTAGCAAGTTCTCGCATCATTTTTATCATTTCCTCCCTTGTTATGATTCGTGGTAAATTTTGAGCTTGTGGGGTATCCATTTATGATAAAAATAAAAATTTGTTATCAGTTATTTTATCGTTAATGGTTTTTAGGTTATTCAATAATTAATTATTTTTGAATAACTGAAGGTGCTACCATGTTACCATGTGCTACCAGGTTAATTAACTTCTCTGAAAAAATGAGACAACATGACATTTTGACAACACAGCAGGAGGAAGGCATTTATGAATTATTTTTGAAGAACTGAAGGTGCTACCATGTTACCATGTGCTACCAGGTTAATTAACTTCTCTGAAAAAATGAGACAACATGACATTTTGACAACACAGCAGGATTAATGCAAAAATAAATTCCAATCATACTTTATAAAGCATCATTTACAGGTATTTCATCGTCAGTAAATGAATCATCATTATCATTTGGTTCAACCTGTTTATATAATCCTTTCATTTCTTCTTTCAAAACATAACACCATGTTTGTTTATCGTCTATTCTTCTATGTTTCCTATCACATTTATCCTTAATGCTCATTTGAAATTCTTGTCTTTCATGTCTGATGGTTTGCAGAATAGAGCATTTTTACACGTCATACCTGCACACAATTCATCATAATGTGTATTTATCCATACATCTAAAGGATTTGTTGATAATTCAATTAAATCTTGTTTGGCTTCAGTCATCGGTATGATTCGTACATTAAATGATGAAAGGTCATATTGCATAAAATATGTTAGTAAATTATCATAAAATTCCTTTGTGCATGAATCCATTAAATTCTTGAAGTAATCAAATTGACCCTTGAATTTACCATTAACTCTTAAAACTACGTATCTTCTGTCTCCAACTTCAATTTTGACAGGGTAGACGTTATTAGTTACGAAAATGAAGTTTGCAACGTTCTGTGCAGTTCTTCTAGGTTGATTCTTTTCATTAATTCTAATCGCATTATCGTAATAATTGATTTCAAAGCGTTGAAGTTTGCGAGTCTGTCTTCACCTACATTCTTGAGTTCATTAAGTACAAGAAACATTTTATTTTCAACTACTGAGTTGAAATTACCCGTTAGCTCACTTATTTCAGTAATGTTTTTACATGAATAACCAGCGAGGAGTTCAGAAATGATGTCTGTAAATCTGTTTTTACCTGTTCCCTGAAGTCCTTTCAAAATAATTGCTGTTTCATTCTTAACTCCAGGATGTTGAATCATTGATGCAATCCAGCCGAGTAGGTATTTATACACTTCATCGTTATTATCACAAATGGCTTCTTTAATGAAATTCATAAACATCTCAATTTTTGAGTAATCAGGCTTTTCGAGAATGTTGTATTTATAACCTTGAAACGTTGAGAAAACATCTGGAGAATCAGATTTAAAGCAAACACCCTTAACGGTTAATGAGGATAATTGATTTAGTAGTACGTCCCATGCTGTTATTGTTTTACCTTCTTCTTTAAATAATTTAATCATTTTGAGTGACTCTTTCATGTTTGACTGAAGAACGAATGATATTTGATTCATTTTGTCGTGGATATTATAGTCCTTTTGAATGAAATATTTATTTCCACAATCTACAAAACGTATTACACGTGATAAATCCTCAATTACTTCAGAACTGTTTTTATACTGATGATTTTCAGCTTTGCGTCTAATATCTGTTATCAAAAACGAGTCATCAAGTTTGATATCAAATGTTATTTTTGGCTTACGTAATAAAGGTAAAACGTATTCATCATAATATTCCTTTTGATAAAGTTTTAGAATCTTCACCAAAACAAATGGAGAAGTCATTAAATGTGCATATCTACTACGTGCTTTTTCAAAATTACTTTTTGCATTTTCTGTTAAGCTGCAGAAGTTATAAACGTTATCGTATGCTTCATTAATTAAATGATTAGGTAATGAATTAATAGCTTGAAACAGTGTGAATAATGTTATTTCTTTTTCTAAATTCATGTTTCCACCGTCATTATGTACTTCAAAATCACTGATGCCATCAACTATGCTCTGGGCAAGTTTATCGTCAATGTTTACATCTTTGTTTTCATTCATGATAGTCTTTATTTCTTCGTTCTTCTGTTCAACTCTTACCTTAATATTCAAATCATTTAATATATCATTTACTGTTCTAGTTAATGTTGAATCATAACTTCCACGAATGAATGAGTATGTATTGATTGGTTCTGATGCATTCTTGCGAACTCTTGAATCGGCCATAACCACTAAAGAACGTTTTGAATCATCCATAGAAGTCATTATGTCAATATCATAATCATTGCAGGAATAACATTTAATCATTCTGTTCGAAACTGAATAGAAGAAATTAGTGTTGCAATAAATGTGAAGACCTCCTGAAGCGGTTTTAACGATAACATCTTTATCAGAAAGTTTTGATAAAATATCTTTTCTAACTGTTTCTTTAAGTTCATCATTGTACGATTTATTGATATCAACATCTATAATCGTTAAATTTGAAATTTTATTTACTAATAAAGCCATACCAGTTTTCCTTCCTCTTCCTCCATCGTGTTTGAGGTAGTTATGTAAATCAATCTTATTTTCACCAATTCTTTCGTTGAGGGTTTTAGTTTCTGCCACAACTAATTCCTCAGCTAATGAATCAATAACTTGTTCATCAGAAACGATATAGTTGCTGTTGTTGTTGTTTGTTGCTGTCATTTATATAGGAATAAAAAAATAAAAATAATTTTAAAACTAACATTATTTTTGGGTCATTTACACTCATTACGATGAAGTCATGACAAATCATTTCCAGGACTGTTGTCAAAATGTCATGTTGTCACACTTTTTCAGAGAAGTTAATTAACCTGGTAGCACATGGTAACATGGTAGCACCTTCAGTTATTCAAAAATAATTAATTATTGAATAACCTGAAAACCATTAACGTAAACATTATTTTAGGTGAGAAAACAGGTGAAAAAGGAGGTGAAATCTCACCTCTTCACCTAAAATATATTTTTGTCTGATTTACACTCATTACGATGAAGTCATGACAAATCATTTCCAGGACTGTTGTCAAAATGTCATGTTGTCTCATTTTTTCAGAGAAGTTAATTAACCTGGTAGCACATGGTAACATGGTAGCACCTTCAGTTATTCAAAAATAATTAATTATTGAATAACCTGAAAACCATTAACGTAAACATTAACGATAAAATATATTTCCAGGACTGTTGTCAAAATGTCATGTTGTCATCATTTTTAAAAGAAGTTAAATAACCTGGTAGCACATGGTAACATGGTAGCACCTTCAGTTCTTCAAAAATAATTAATTATTGAATAACCTAAAAACATGAGACTTTGTCTCCGGACTCTTTGAGTCACTTAACGATAAAATATATTTTTGGTCATGAGCTATGCCCCGCCACGTTGCGTCTTTATGACAAAAATAATGAGTTCATTTACTCACAATATTTTTTTACAAAACGACCCCAAACTTTTAACTTCTTTTCTGCAGTTTCTAATGCTATCTTAGCGAGTTCATATTCTCTAAATTCTCTCTTTAAATTTTCTTGTTCCCATTGGTCTAGTTCGAATGGAGAATCTCTATAACCATAACATAACTCACGTTCATGTTCTAATTGTTTTTCGCGCATTTTTCTAACTTCTTGTTCGAACAAAGGTTTAGCATTCTCTACTGTATCTTCAAGTTCTTCTTCATCTAATTTCTCATGAACTTTCTTGTCTATGGAGTCCATAATTTTTCCAACTGCTATGCAATATTTTGGAGAAGCCCACATTGCTATATAGTTTATAAGTCCTGGGTCTACATACGTTCCTCTAACCTGTTTGATTTCATCAGGAATTCCTGCATGAATTTTGTATAAAAAGCAACAGTCTGAATTCCGGCGGTTGCTATATTCTTCACAAAATGCCTTATAATACTCTTCCAGGATTTATTTTCCAACAACTTTCTAAAGTCTTTCCTAAACTGCTGACACATATTTGTTGCATTAATGTAACCATCCTTGTCTCTACGTAAGACTTCAATACCGTTATAAGTGCCTTTTGTGAATGTTTCACCATTAGATTTGTTCGTGAATGTTTTTGCTTCGACCGACATTACTGTTCTTACATACAAAATAAAAAATAAATAAAAATAATTTTAAAACTAACTTTATTTTTGTACTGCATCAAATTTTCGTAAATGTTGTCAAAATGTCATGTTGTCTCATTTTTTCAGAGAAGTTAAATAACCTGGTGACATGGTGACATAGTGACACCTTCAGTTCTTCAAAAATAATTAATTATTGAATAACCTGAAAACATGAGACTTTGTCTCCGGACTCTTTGAGTCACTTAACGAAAAAATATATTTCTGCAGTTCATCCGCTACTTCATTACCTAATTAATTACAGACATAAAATATATTTAGTTCATTCGGTAAGCCCAAACCCTTTGGGTCAAGTCTCAAGTGTGTTTATTGAACTCGGTAAGCCTGCAAAGTAGGCTCAAGCACGTTCAATGAATGCGGTACCATGCGAATACAGTCACAAATGGTGGCATATAATCTTTACCCAAGCCTGTTGGATTTGTTGTGAAAGTGTGTGAATGATTTCCTGCGGTTCCACAGAAAATACCTGTGCTTGAATCTACTGGGTCAGTTGTGATATCAGATCTATTCATTCCTTGTCTATCCGAACCCGCTGCAAGATTTGTATAACCTCTTTTTGTTATTGAATGTGAATGATTACCTGTTGTGTTTGTAGTTCCTGTATGAGTGTGTGGTGGAAGGTTTGCTTCTTTAATTTTCTTCGAACCTCCTGTTTGCTTTGAATATCTAGCACAGTATAAGAATTTATCTACAATCTGCTTCCACATACCAAAACCTAAAACTGTTGATGGATTTGTTGAGTTCATTGACGTATAAATAGAACCAACAGGATATAATGTTTGAAGTATTTCATTTTTCATGCTTGTAATCACATCATTTACTTCCGACTTCTTTGCATAATTTTCATCAACATAAGTTTTATCTGCTTTAAGGTCTAAACATCCTGAAACCCATTCTGTATCAGCTTTAACTTTAAAAGTCTCAAATGTCCATTCATGATACCATTCAACCTTTTCTTTAATTTCATTATCTTTTTCATCAACATAAACCAAATTTGCCTTCTTATTTAACTCACTATCCACATATTCCTTATCCACCTTCTTCATTATGTCATTTAGGAAACCTTCTATGAATTCCTCATTTAAATTAAATCTTCCAATCTTCAAAACTTTAGGAAATGCATTTAATGCGTAATATCTCTGTTCTTCTGGTGGAATTGATGTTATATCATCCGTTATTCCTTTAATTTTTGAATTCATAAATAAAATTTCTTTTATATTTGATATCACTGCACCACCTTTGCAAACGAATTCGAAATGGTCATTTTTCAATACTATCTCCAAATCTCCATATTTCAACCTTTGCGTTTGTTCTGCCGTCTTTGAATTATATGCATATATGGCGTATGTAATGGTCTGAAGGACCTGGGCGCTTTGCGCCTTAAGTTGTTGTTGTTTAATCATTTATTATGATTTAAAAATAAATATTTAATCCGTTATCTCATCAGCTATTTTCTCTATTTGAAATTGCCATAATATTTCATTCATAAATTCTAAATCACAATCAAATAGGTCAGTTATTCTAAATTTAATATTTGATAAATCTTTTGAATGAAGAATAAATGAATTCCCGGATAATTGAAACGGATATGATAAAGAAAATGTGTTTAAGTTGATGGATAAAATGTTTTGTATTGATGGGTAAGAGTTAGGGTCTAATGTTTGATGTGAAAATCTCATTGGGGTATTAACTTTATCACATTTGATTAAAATGAAATTGGAACCAGTGTCAGAATACAAAACATCCCCAACATCTTTTTCAAAATTTAATATCCCAACAATGAACGAAGATGAGGAGTACAAAATTTAATTTTCAGCGGGAATTTAATAAGGTTATTTATTTCATCAAGTTCAAAAAGTTTATCAGGTTTTGATTTAAAATTTTCTTCATACCATACGATAAATGATTCATTTAAATAACTTAAAATCATGTTAATATCCCATTTCGCTATCACATTATTTATATACATATCATACGTTTTTTCAAGGTCATCTTTAATAAATGATATATAATCTGAAGGGTCTAAAAGAATGGGATTAAATTTACCACTCACAGAAACGAGAGTAACATTATAAATTCCGCTAACTGTTAAATTTAATTCACAGTTATTATTCGAAATAATATTGATAATTGACATTTTTATTACGATTAAAAATATGGTAAAGCGTTATTTTCCAGTGATAAATAAAACTAGAATAAGATTACCTCAAGAATTCATAAATTCAACGAATAAGAAATTCATTCATGTTATAAATTTTAGTGTTTTCAGAAAATATGAGTCAATGTCATATTCATCAACAGGTTATATTTCACTTCATTCAAATTTAGTTCAATCAAACCCATATAATGACCATTTCATAAGATTTTCAGATGGTATTAAAAATGTAATTGATAGATTAAAATATGAACAGATTGACAATATCGAATTTTTGGAATTTTGGTTTAAATATCCCGATGGAAAAAAGATTGAAGTTAAAGATAAAGCTGATACTATAACAAAAACAATTACAATGACCGATCCAGATAGTGGGGAACAAAAAGAAATAAAACAAACGATAGAAACTGGTGAAAGGTCAATTATTATTGATTATGATTCAAAGGATTATTATTCGATAATGTTAATGCTTGAATATTAAATAGCCTTAACAAAGAATTTTTCAAGTGATATTTTATATTCATCAACTATTTTATTATAAATATCATTATATGTTAAATGAAGTTCAGTTGTTGTTCCGTTCTTTGATATCTTAATTGTGCTAATATCCTTTATAGGATTTATTTTTGCAACTGTTCCGCAGCATGAAACCTCATCATCTATGAAAAATTGAATCTTAACGTCTGAATCTTGAACATCACAAAGAATGGCGATAATGTGAATTAATGATTCATAAGGTAAAATAATTAAACCGGATTGATCAATTAAATTTATTATTGAATCATAATTATTAATTATTATATCACGGTAAATTTTCATTAATTCAGAATTAATGTCTATTTTATATGGGTTCTCGATGTTTGATGAAAGAGGTGGGGGTATGTTGGATAAGTGGGAATTTCAACAGGTTCTTTACCGGGTTCAGATAAAATGATTGGGTCTCCATTCTCATGGTTTTCTTCATTCTCCTCATTCTTCGGTAAGTCACGAGTTAATAAATTTGGTTGAGTTGCTGACCTTGTTAATTCAGGGCTAACATTAACTTTAACATTTTGAATAATTCGTGATTTATCATCATTTACGTTATAACCAACCGTAATCTCTGCTTTTGCGTTAGTGTTCTTTTGACTAGTGAAACGTCTTCTCATTTATATTCGAATAAAAAAATATATTTAAACTTTTATTTTGCTGGAACTTTTGAATCTATTATTCCCTGTATTTGTTCATGAAGTTGATTTTTAGCTGTTTTCATCGAAATTAATAGACCGAATATATTCATTAATTGCATTCTTATAATCATCTGATTTCTCAAATTTTCTTTTATCTGATTCCTTAACTAAATCATAAGTTAAACCTCGTTGCTGATATAATGGTTTCTTAATTAAATCTTTGAATGCTTGAGATAAAGCACCTGATGCAATTCTTGCTACTATAATTGGTTGGAATTGCTGTTTAAGTTCATCTTTAACATTTGCGAAAACTGGATCGAATAAAGCAACTTTAAAGAATTTCTTAGCTGAAATTTCAGGTCTAATATTTGCATATTGACCATCAAACTGGTTAGAATATCGTGGTAATCCATCCGGTCCCTCTTCAATAGCATTTAATTCTTCATTGAAATAAGAATATGGATTATGACGGTATGAATTAATTGGACCATTTTCACCTTCTCCAATGTATTGTTTAACAGCTTTTCCATTTTCATCAAATTGCATAGGATAACGTTCATTATATGCTTTACGTTTAGGATAATCAGTTATAGTTAATTTATAACCATTTATGACTTTAATATTACCTTGACCATCAGTAACGAAAACTTCATTTATACCATCAGGTTTTCCATTTGGACCCGTAATGTCTGCTTCGTGTGCTTCCCAATTTGGACCATGACGTTTGGCATATGCTTGAGCTTCTGGTAATGTTAAAACGTTTCTCATTTGTTTAACATCTTTTTGAAGACCAGCAACAATATGAACTAATTCTTTCATTCCATCAGGAACTTTCATAGTTCTATTATATGCACCCTTTTTGTTTGTCCCTTGTTTTAATGGAACCTGTAGAAGATTTGCTATTTCTGTCATGTTTAATTATAAATAAAAAATAAAAATTAATTATAAAAAGTTAATCAAATTTAACACTTCCTTTATTTAAATCAACTATTATTTTTCCATGTTCACCTAATTGCTGATATTGTGTGTAAAGTTCATTAATGCTCATTGGTAAATTCACTTGATAAAGCATAACGTTCAACTGTTGACGACTAAACCCACTGAAAATGAAAAGTGTTGATAGATTTGATTTAATGTTTGTGCTTAATGCTTTGAAGTATTGAACAGCCATAAAGAATGAACACTGAATGTGTCGACATTGAGTTAATAACTGATTAAAATATGATTTCTCATTTGTTATTAGTTTTGATTTCACTGCATCATCTAGAAAAAATGAGTGAATGCAAAAATTCTCTATCAAAATTTGAAATAGAAAGTGTTTCAAATAATTCATCCCGTTGTTTATCAATAATTTTATCCTCTAATCCTTGCTTCTTGATTGTATTATATAATTCTTTATACATTAAAAAGTTTTTTAAATAATCTTCTGCTTCTTCTTGTGATAAATAAATAATTGGAATTTTGATTAAATGCTTTAAAGATTCAAATGTATCATCTGAAGGTGAACCTGAACGGTTGATATAAATTAACACATGTGAATGGGGGAAGTGTTAGCAATAATGATAATTTGTTTTAATATCGTTAATGTTTTACCTTTATTTTGTTTACCAATTGCTGCAGTGATTGAATTTAAGTAACATTCAGAATATGGAATTTTCATTAATTTTTCCTTAGATAGAGCATTTCTATTATCACTCAATGCTTCATTAATCATATCATCTACGTATGTATTATATACTCCTGCTAATTCTTCATAAGGGGTGGATGAATTTAAATCCATTTAATCAAAAAAAATTTATAATTTTAAACATTTCTATTCATCAATATTTCATCATATGAACTTCTATACTGTGGTGGTGTACCTGTTGGATGATATTTCAAACCTTCATCCGGTGTCCATGTCCAATATGTAGTCCTAGTAAACCAAACCTGAGGAGGATTTGTCACCTTTGAACAGTAAGTGTCATTTACACCCTGAATGATTGGATAAGCTTTCACTTGTACTGTAACTTGTGAGTTGAAAGTTTCTAATCCATCAAAGAATATACCCGCTCCATCACGTTGAACTGGAATAGTGCATAAGAATGAAGTTTGGTCTTTCCATGTTCTAGCTAATGGCGTGCCATCATCATCATTCAGTGGTCTAGTTAATGAGTCCTCGTATTCTTCTGTGCATTCATTCACTCCATCTAAATCAGAAGCTTGAAGCATACGTGTAAAGAATATGTCACCCACTGTGGTCATCGCTTGATCGGGGAAGTTTCTGGAATCTATAGTGACCTGAAGACCTCGAAGCATTGGATTTTCTAAAACCGTTCTTTGCATTGCATTCTTCGGAAATGTTAACACAACATCTGTAACATTATGAAGAGCGTATGAGAAATCTGAGCTAATACCTTCAGGAGTGATGCAACCTCCATTTAGTGAACGAACGTCAATATGTTGAGCTGGAATCATGAATGGATCTTCCTTACTGAATAAACGTGGTATTGCTTTAACTGATTCTTCAATTAAACCGTATCCTGGTGTAATGCATTTATCCTCTAAAACTTCCATCTTTGTGCATGAAATAATAACGTCATCAACTGTTGCGTCAGCAGATGTAGCGGCTAAGCTTGTAATTAATTTGGCAGGAAGTCCGATTTGTTGGAATTTGCGATCATATTTATAAACATGATTCATAATCTTTTCATAATTTTCATCAGTTATCTTTTCATAAACGTAATTTTGTAAATCAGCAACTCTTAACGGGTCAACCTGACAAAATACTAAAGTATCCCTGAAAACATAATATTTAAGAATGATATCACCAAATGATTTAGGATAATCATCGAACGCCTGAAATGCTAACAAATCATTTACCGGAATAATCATATCAAAAGTGACATCAACTTCTTCATTTGCTTCTTGAAAACTTCTGAAGGGTCAATATATTTACCACATACTGAGTTATCATATTTTTGAACATTATTATATAACGAATGAACAAACTTTTTAACTTTCCTTTCTGATTTTGGTTTATATGTTGCAAATGCGAAAGATTCACGGGCGCAATCCATCTGAAGATAACCGGCATCAC